GTGAATACGTCGGAGCGAAATTTCTCCGTCAAACTCAAAATAAAACTTTTACAATTTTGTGTGTTTTTCTTGTAATATTTTTAATTTAGAAGCGTTATTCTTACAACCTAAAAAACAACCTATTTCAACCTATTTTTTTCGTTGATTTTCGTCAATTCATCTGTTATAATTTATTCAAAATTATAATTAATTAATAAATGTGAATCAATAAATCATAACCGTTTGATTGACGGAAATCAATAGTGAAAAAATAGATTGTAAGAGGTTGTAAAACTTTTAGGTCGTAAGAATAATCCTTCTCTATTTTTAATATTTACCTTGTTTTGTTTGGATCAAGAAAGATGCTATAAAATTATTAAAAATTTGCACAACTAATCTAAGGTAACTATTTTTTAAATGGATGTATCAGAGATGTAGTGGAATTAAGTTTCCACATTCCCTGTGCATAATCAGACTCTACCTTTGGTTCATTTTTTAAAAAGACTAGTTTTGCTAAATAAAAAAGATTTTTTAATTTTTTCAAATAAAATAAAATTGGTGGCTGGTCCCATTGTTTTTATTTTTCAAATTAATTTCGAGTCGTTACACATTTATGGAGTCAATGACTTGATAAGTGTTGCCAAACTAATACTCAAAGAGAAGCAAATATGGGCTTTGGAACTAGGGGGAGGAATGTTGGAAATCCAATTGTGAGTAACGAAGCCCAACAATGGTTAAAAATGAATTAAGTAAAAATCACATAAGTAAATTTAAAAGGGTTCGCTTTTTCTGCAGTTACTGCAGATAAGTTATCTGCAGTAAGCCAATACGACGTCGTTTTGGAACGGAAATCATGGTGTTTTTGTAATTTTAATTTATTTTAAGGTTATAATAGTCTTTATATTTATAATTTTTTAAGATTTCAATACTAAAACGACGTCGTTTTGAGAATAAATGCAGATAACTTCTCTGCATTAACTGTGGAAACATTTTTCCCAATTTAAAAACTCATAAATATAATATTTTAATGGTTTAAATTGAGATTCGGTGTTGAGGTCACTTATTATGCTAGATTGCTGCTTAACTCATCGATAATAATTCTCCTGATAGTAATTTTCCCCTAACTTGCCAACAACATATCACTTAGATGTTGATCAAACGGTTTGCTTATTTTTAATCCATAATTCCCGTTGTGGAGCATTTGCGTTTATTATCGAACTGTGGCGATTTGTATGCGTAGCTACGAGAAACTAGATCCTAGGAAAAATTGATAAAGAGATCCAAAAAAACAAAACAACCTCTAACTCGTCTTGTTATGGGTGTGCATACCAATCATTCTGTTTCATGATACTGTTTCTAAAAAGAAATAATTTTTTTATATTTATTTTCTATTTATGTGCTTTAGAACAGTTTCTAATAAAAAATATATATTTGATAACATGTTCTATTTTTATTTCGAAATTGAGAATTGTGTTTGATAACACAATAAATAATATAATAATTTTTTTTTTATTAAGCATAATTTTTTTTTTGGAACATCACTTTCCTTTTCATATAGTATGGTGGTGGTGACAGCGGCAACAACAGTGGTGGCAATAGTGATGGCTGTGGCGGTGGTGTGGTGATGGTAGTGGAGGTGGTGGTGGTGATGACTATAATGGTGGCAATGGTAGTGGTGTTGACGGTGTGGTGACAGTAGCGACAGCGGTAGCGGTAGTGGTGGCGATGATAGTGGCATGGTAGTAGTGGCGATGGCGATGATGATATGGTGGTGATGACATGGTGATGGTGGTGAAGACAGTGGTGATGGTGGTGATTGGCGGCGGTGGCGGTGGTGGTGATAACGGTAGTGGCTGCATCGATAGTAGTGGTGGTGACGATGATGGTGGTGGCTGTGGCGTGGGGGTGGTGATGGCGATGGTGGCTGCGATGGTGGTAGTTGTTGGTGGCGGTGATAGTGATAATAATGTTTCTCATTATGTGTCTGAGAACAAAAAACAGAAATTTTTTTATTCTTTTTTCTATTCTCAACACAAAAATTAAACCGACAAATCTCGGGAAGAAAAAAATAAATCGATTTTACCAAATGAGTTTTCTATCCATTTATATTCCCGAAAATAGAAATTAAAAAAAAAATGATTACAATAAAATTGTCATACGATAAAATAGTTTGTTTTCATTATGGGTGGAAATTATGAAAATTCTTTAATAAGCAATATATGTCCCGGCGTAGAGTTAATCTTTGAAAGATATATACACCCTTTCTTGTTAAAGGATCCTATTTTATTCTCACTATCAAAGTTATAAAATTGTTGAGAGAAAATCTTCCCATGTACTAGAAAACCATCGGTATTTCCTTGTGTATTGGGCTATCTCTTTCCTTAAATAATTTAAGGGAAAAACAAATATTATATTGTAAGAAAATATTTAGGTCATGTCATAGAGACAATCAATTGTGGGGGCCACTATTTTTAAAATAAAAGAAATGTAAAAGAATTGATGGGCCCACTTTTATGTGTCTGTAGAAAAATTGCTTGTATCATGTGAAACGAGAAAAATATTACCCATAATTTAAATACCTTCAAAATCTTCAAAGGGTTTCCTGAGCATAAATTTGACTAATTCGTATATAAAGTAATATCGCGTATTACACAGGGTAAAAGTTTTTTTTAGATAACTCAACTTTAATTGCTTCTTTGCACCGAGTTGATTCCCCTTATATTTTCACAAGTTTTCACTCTTTGAGTCGACTATGAGACTAATCCATAATGTGGGATGGATTAGAGATGAAGTTATTTAAATCCCTCCAAAAGATGGCATGTGGGTCTATTAACGGGCTGAGCCGAGACAGACTTTGATCTTAAAAGATTAAGGCTGTATTTAAATATGTCAGTCTGTCATAACCCGTTACCTGTTATGAATATAATCATCATCTTGTGACCTGATTTATTCAATGTTGCACCGACACGGGACACGAGATACGACACGACATTCCGACACGTTAATTCTAAAAAATATTAAATTTCGACACGTTAGGACACGTTTTGATATTATATAATATTTTTAATTTATTTAGTGTATATTTTATTTAATATTCAATAATTTAATAAAAAATAAAGCTAAACTTATAATACCCATCAATTTTGCAAAGAAACATAAGATATCCTAAATTTTTATATTAAACTCAAATCCAACGAATCTAATAGTTGGATCTCAAAATGCAATGCAACGTAACATTTGAACCTTTTTTGAGTCTTTGCAACGAGTATTGGAGTGTCGGGAAGTGTCGGAGTGCCAGTGAGTGTCGGACACTACACGTCAAAGATTTTGAAGTGTCGGTGCTTCGTAGGATTTATTTAGAAAAAATAAAAACCTGATTTAGCCTGTTAAAAAATATAAGACAATAAATATTTTATTTTTTTTTGATAACAAGACAATAAATATTTATCCAAACAAAATATACGATCAATGACTCTAATAATTTTACAAATTATTTTTTTCAATTATTCAGCTGTCTTGCTACCAACTAAATTAATACGTTTTATACGGTAAAAGTTGATACGATTAATTTTAGCCTTTGGTACAACTGTATATCGTACAATAGGGGTGTTCATCAACCAATCCAAACCGATTCAAACCGCAATAACCAAATCGAAAAATCGATAACCGAATAAACCGAAAACCGAAAAAATGAAAACCAAAAAAATGAAAACCGAAAAAAACTCGCAAATTTTAATTGGATTGGATCGGTTTTTGGATGGATTGATGAAAACCGATCCAATCCAAACCGATCCAATATATTAATTCCCCTCTATCTACTTGGATCTTTCCTTAATCATAGTCCAAAAATTTCTAAACCCAAGACCCATTAACCTATCAACTAAACCCAAGAAAAATTCTAGTCACATCTCGTCAACAAAATTTTATCTTTGTAGAGCTTCATATCTCATTGCCCAAAATAAATAAATTTCATTATAGTTTACTAATGCTTCTGTTTTTTTTTTTTAAAAAAATTTACAAGTCAATATATACAAAAGATGTTATTTACACAATAATAATGAAACAAATTTTAGTATTTTCAAAAAAATCGAAAACCGATCCAATCCAAACCAAAAAAGATTGGATTGGATCGGATCGGATTTGAAAAAAAAATCCAAACCAAATGAATGATTATATGATTAAACCGAAGGAATTAGATCAAATGATTTTTATTTCCATAACCGAGACCGCAAACATCCTATCGTACAATAGTGAAAACGGATTATTCAGTAAAGGACGAGCACGTCACCTGTGAATAAGTACTTAGTCACTGGTTTGAATCATATATAACTAGACAAATTACATATGATGTGATGTTATTTTGTGTGCATTCATAAATTCAAGCTTCAATGAAGAGATACACTCAAATATTTCTTTCAACCACCTCGAGTATAATTAGTATAGCTCTGACTCAAACTAGTGAATGTGAGCAAATCTAGCTATAATACAAGTCTTTGCTGTCCAAATTTACTTGCTATCTATGAACTCTGCACACCAGGTATGCCCTTTTTCCTCTTCAAAGTTGTTTTTCTGGAGCTTTACACATGGCTATAAAAGGTACACATGGTACCCTGACCAATCTTAATTCTTCCACCTAATTAATCGAAATGGTTGGTAAAATCGTGACATCTATTTATTATAATGTGTTTCATTTTTCTCATTCTCTACTTAATGTTAGCCAGCTTAAGCTGGTCCTCTGACTGTGACACTGAAGGCAAAACAACATAAAAATTCTCATGTGCGCAGAATTTTAACTACTACATGATCAAACTTAAAAAAGGAAAGAACTTACTAATGTCTAGCTACCGACATAACTTTTTTGTGAATTGAAAATATTAACAACGTGTATATCTTTGTACATGTGCTTAGTAGTTAACTTCCATATGAATTTTCAGTTAAAAAATTTGCATGTTGATATCAATGTGTGCAGAAAAGTTGCTATAAAGTTTAAAATGAAAGTAAAAATATATAAAAGATGGGTTTAATGTCTATCAGTTACACATTGATAAAAGATAGAAGTATATGACTCTTTTTTTCTTTTTTTTCACATGATTCCACTTGGATCCTACACACTTTTATGTGTGTATAAGAGATAATTTTATCTCCCACAATATAAGAAACATAGATATCTAATTTTTTTTAGGGAAAACAACAGCTATGTATGGATTAAAAAGTAACCATAAAAGAAGAAGAAGAAAGAGGAGGAGGAGGGGGAGGAGGCAAGGGTCTATATATTCTACAAGCCCCAAAGCTAATCCTCAATTCATCATGGACCCTCTAAATCCTAAAGAATTTAGGAAGCAAGGGCACATGATAATTGATTTCCTTGCTGATTATTACCAGAATGTTGCTAACTATCCAGTTCTAAGTCAAGTAGAACCTGGTTATCTAGGAAAACTCTTGCCTAGTTTAGCACCTTTGAATCCTGAACCCATTGAAACCATTCTTCAAGATTTGCAGCAACATATAATTCCAGGAATAACACACTGGCAAAGTCCTAATTACTTTGCTTACTTCCCCTCCAGTGGTAGCACAGCAGGGTTTCTAGGAGAAATGCTAAGCACCGGACTCAACGTGGTTGGTTTCAATTGGGTCTCATCCCCAGCAGCAACAGAGCTAGAAAGTGTTGTCATGGATTGGCTTGGACAGGTGCTGAAGCTCCCCAAGCCTTTCCTTTTCTCTGGTAATGGTGGAGGTGTTTTGTTAGGGACAACTTGTGAGGCCATCTTGGCTACACTAGTTGCTGCAAGAGATCAATTGCTTAGTCAAATTGGTAAGGAAAACATAGGAAAGCTTGTTGTGTATTGTTCTGATCAAACACACTGTGCAGTTCTGAAAGCAGCTCATATAGTAGGAATTCACCCCAAGAATTTCAGGGCCATCAAGACCATGCAGTCAACTTCATTCACTTTGTTACCTGAATCACTATTATCAACCATTCAATCAGATGTTGGAAATGGGTTGGTTCCTTGTTATCTTTGTGTCACTGTGGGAACTACTTCAACAACCGCAATTGATCCAATAGGACCACTGTGTAAGGTGGCAAAAGATTATGGCATTTGGGTCCACGTTGATGCTGCTTATGCTGGTAGTGCATGCATTTGCCCTGAGTTTAGATACTTGATTGATGGAGTTGAGGATGCAAATTCTTTTAGCCTCAATGCACATAAATGGTTTCTTACTAACTTAGATTGTTGCTGTCTTTGGGTAAAGGATCCAGCTTCTCTTATAAAGTCTCTATCAACAAATTCAGAGTATTTGGAAAACAGTGCTTCTGATTCAAAGAAAGTGGTGGACTACAAAGATTGGCAGATAACCTTAAGCAGAAGATTTCGTGCCCTGAAAGTATGGCTTGTTCTTCGAAGCTATGGTGTGGCTAATCTTAGAAACTTCTTAAAAAACCACGTTGAAATGGCCAAAACTTTTGAAGGATTGGTAAAGCTGGATAAGAGGTTTGAGATTGTAGTACCTAGAAATCTTGCTGTTGTCTGCTTTAGAGTTTTGCCATCAGCAGTTGCAAAGATTGCTAATGGTAAGGTTCAGAATGGAGATCTCAAAACTGAGGATGTTGCAAATGAAATCAATCGTAAGTTGCTTGATTCCATCAATGGTTCAGGCACTGTATACATGACTCATGCTATCGTTGGAGGAATTTTTGTGATTAGGTGTGCTATAGGGGCAACTTTAACAGAGGAAAAACATGTGATCATGGCCTGGAAGGTGGTGCAGGAACATGCAGATGCCATTTTAAACAACTAAATCAAGTCTAAATTTTGCAGGAATAAAAAACATTGTCCTAGCAGAATCACATCCGAATGTCCAAGAACTCTCTATTGGATACATTGGGTGCAGAATAAAAACAGCCTCCAAAGTGTGTTACTTGTTGATTGAGCATCAGTGTGTTTTTGGTTTTATGTTTAAATCTTGCAAATTGTACTTAATTTATTGATTGTCATCCTTCATCTCAACGTTCTAAACATAAGACAAATTATGTTATTAAATTTGTTGCATAGTCAAATTAGATGTACAATTTTTTGTTAACCTAGTTTCTGGTATAATCACGAGTTCGATTAGGGAATCAATCTCTATGCAAATAATCAAGGGTAAAATTACGTACAAGAATTACCTTCACCTCTATACTCGTTAGTTGAGGTTTAATGGAAAGTGGTTTAGTTACTCTTATAGTCAATATAAGGTATTTAGTGTCAGCTCTACTTCATATAGTCCTGAAAGGAAATGTTGTTTTCCCACACAAAACTTGTATAGAAACCTCTTCTTGCAGGTGAGGTGGAAAAGCGATGCCCAAGTATTATACCAGCCAATTTTTTTTTTTTTTTTCTATCCCTTAATGTTTGCTATCTAACCCTATGTGAAGGTTGTGCGCAAAATTCTCTTGTGAAAGTTATATTTTCTTGTTCTGATGTTGCTTGACGTGTGACATGATCTCCATCCCCTGTCTAATTGTCCCATTTAATTTGAGACTAACCATATTGTCATTGCCGTGAGATAGAAGAGACGTGAGTTGCAAGCAATACCTTTAAATGTTATCCATAGCTAAGCTCAGGTATGGTTGGAAAGGGCAGATATTTAAGTTCAATATCTGCTCATTTTGTTTGCTTAAACCATCAATGCTTACGTTAAGTAAATGTCAGTGTTGAGTTCAAAGCCTCATTATTAACATTTGAAATTAGTCTAGTATTTTCTTTATGGGGTATATTTTTTTCATGTTACATAAGATAACATATCCCTCCTAGTCATACATCAAAAGTTTTGCTAATATTTATTTATTTATTTACATTTTTTTTTAAAGAATAGGTCTCACAGACATGAGATAACAAGTCTCCTACAATATGAGACTTATATTTTCCTTTCTTTAAACATATCTGACTTATTTATGTCGCATAGACTTTTTATTATTATTATTATCTAACATGGCTTTTTCTTAAAAGCCTGACTTGGCTGAAAGGCAATTTAAAGGCCAATTTCATAATAATAAACCAATTTCTAAATAGATTAAGTAAACATGTCTAAATTTTTAGATGTGCCAAATAAGTTTTTAAATTGGTTAATAAATATATTTTTAAAAATTAATATAATACTAATATATTATTTATACATTTAAATAGGTTGAGTTCTTAAGCCTAAGACTTTTTGGATGATTTGAAGTCTGGCCTTTTTAATTAAATAGATTTTTAAAAACACCTTGTCCTGGGTTGAAAGGTATCAGACCCAGGAAGCAAGATAACTCTCAAATGAGAGTTCTAAATGAAAAGATAGTAAAGAAAGCATGTAACTGAATAATACTTTGTATATTGATCGATTGTTATTTCTCTGTTTACATTCTGCTCTATATACAGAAGAGGATAAACTAACAGGTGTAACTACTTTAACTAACTCTTAATGGATTGGGCCTTGATGGCCCATTATCCTAATATATGCTTATCATCCCCCCGCAAACTCAGCGGTGAAGCATGAACCCTGAGTTTGGAGCGAAATCTGGTGAAGTTAGGAGCAGAGATAGGTTTGGTGAGTATGTCTGCAATTTGTTCAGTGCCTGGAAGATGTTGAACAAAGACTTGCTGTTGGAGAACTCTGTCACGAACAAAATAGAGATCCAACTCAAAGTGTTTGGTTCTATTGTGAAGAATGGGATTGGCTGCCAATTGGATTGCACTTGCATTGTCACAAAACACGGTTGGAAGCGTGGGACAAGGAATCCGAAGTTCTGAGAGAAGAGATTGAAGCCAGATCAATTCTGCGAAAGTGGCTGCTAGGCTGCGGAACTTAGCCTCTGTGCTGGAGCGGGAAACAACATGTTGTTTCTTACTGGTCCAGGAAATTAAATTGCTGCCATAGTAGACACAGAAACCACTGGTAGACTTGCGATCATCAACATCTGATCCCCAATCAGAGTCACAGAAAGCTATGAGTCTGGAATCAGTGGAAGGACGAAAAACTAAACCATGGGAGAGAGTGCCAGATAAGTAGCGAAGGATCCTCTTTACTGCCTTCCAATGAATGTCAAGTGGACTGTGCATGAAATGGCTGACCTTATTGACAGCATAGGAGAGATCAAGTTTTGTAATAGTTGCATATTGGAGGCCATCGACTATAGATCGATAGAGAGTGGGATCAGAGAAGGCAGCATCACCTTCGAGGGACAGTTTTTGGTGAGCAATCATAGGGGTAGGCATGGGTTTAGCTGATAGCATATTAGTTTTGTTTAAGAGATCAGTGATATATTTGGTTTGAGTAAGGTGTAAAGTGGTGGGTGAGAGATAGGTTGCCTCGAGGCCAAGGAAGTAGTTCAAGCTGCCTAAATCTTTTAGGGAGAACTGGCTATTGAGTTGGGAGATGAGAGATGAGATTTCAGTAGGATTATTTCCTGTGATCAAGATATCATCAACATACACGAGTATGTAAATAGTAGACGTTGGAGTGAACCTGGTGTAGAGAGAGGTATCAGATTTGGTATTGTAGAAACCATAATGTTGAAGGGTGAGGTTGAGAGTTTGAAACCATGCCTGAGGTGCTTGTCGAAGGCCATAGATAGCCTTGTTTAATTTGCAAATGAAGTGTGGATGATCACTAGGAAAGCCTGTAGGTTGATGCATGTAGACATCTTCATGAAGTGACCCATGAAGAAAAGCATTATTAAAATCAAACTGACGGATGATCCACTTGTTGGTAAGAGCAATAGAGAGAACAAGTCTGACAGTAGATGGTTTGACAACAGGACTAAACACCTCACTAAAGCCAAAACCTTTTCTTTGTTGAAACCCCTTGGCCACTAATCGTGCTTTATATCTGTGAATGCTGCCATCTGAATGTCTCTTGATCCTGAATATCCATTTGCAGTCGATAGGTGAAGTGGAAGAGGTGGGAGGGACAAGAGTCCAGGTACCATTGTTAATGAGGGCTGTATATTCTTCCTGCATAGCTTGTTTCCAATGAGGAGATTTGAGTGCTTGAGCAACATTCTGAGGTTCAGAATGTAGTAGATGTGGATCGGAAGTAGTGGTTGTAGTTGCAAAGGACTTTGGTTTGAAGATCCCTGATTTGGCTCGAGTTTGCATAGGATGTGAAGGGGCAACTACAGAGGTATGATCAGGAGAGGTGGATGGTGATGCTGAGTGCCCTGGAAGTGGGGGGAGGGAATAGTTGAAACACTAGGAGAAATGTTAGTAGTAACAGATAAATAAGGGGGTGGAGAAATATGTGCAGGAAGATGCTGATGTAACAAAGGAATATGAGGAATGTGAGAAATATCATTTGATTGAGAGACAGGAGATGATGGAGGAAATAATTCAGAATATGGAAAATTAAATTCATCAAATAAAACATCTCTAGAGATGTAGACTTTACCATTTGGAGCAAGGCACTTGTATCCCTTGTGATCAACTGCATATCCCAAGAAAATACATTTGGTGGATCGAAAATCAAGTTTATGTCTGTTATATGGTCTAAGTAGGGGAAAACAAGCACATCCAAATATCTTCATAAAGCTGTAATCGGGTTTGTTGTGATATAAAAGTTCAAAGGGAGATTTAAAGTGAAGGGTAGGTGTTGGTAACCGATTGATAAGATAGATGGCTGCTATAAAGGCTTCTTCCCAGTATGATAAAGGTAATTTAGCATTGGCTAAGAGAGCCAAGCCAACTTCTGTAATGTGGCGATGTTTTCTTTCCACTTTGCCATTTTGCTGATGAGAATAGGGGCAGGTGAGTCTGTGAGTGATGCCATGAAGGTTGAGAAAATGGTTAAACTGAGATGAAGTGAGTTCTTTGGCATTGTCTGTTTGCACAGATTTAATCTTGAAACCAGTGAGATTTTCAATAGTTGTTTTGTATTGTATAAAAGTTTGATAAACCTGAGATTTGTTGCGCAGAAAAAAGAGATAACTAAAGCGAGTAAAGGTATCAACAAATAACACATAATAAAAGGATCCTGAATTACCAGGAATGGGTGCAGGACCCCAAACATCAATCAGAACCAATTCAAGAGGAGAAGTATATTGAGTATTTGAATCAAAGTGAGGTAATTGGTGAATTTTTCCTAGACAACAGGCTTCACAAACTGATGAAGCAGAAAAACGTTTATTCATATGAAAAGGAAGATTACAATGTTGTAATACAGTTCTAACAATAGGTGGAGCAGCATGTCCTAGACGTTTATGCCAAACATCAAAAGAAGCAAGTTTAGAATAAAATGTAGTGGGAGATGTGAGTGATATAGGGTGTGAATGCACATGAGAGTTGGTGAACTGATAGAGTCCATCTCTAAGATTGCCCTTGAGAACAATTTCCTTGGTAACCTGAGATTTGACAAGACAATGATTAGGATAGAATTCAAAATAAACATCATTGTCCTTGGCAAATTGGGATACACTAATCAGATTTTTAGTAATGTGAGGAACATGCAGTAAATTGTTGAGTTTAAAAACTGTAGATGAATTAGAGGTGCATAAGGTGGAGTTACCAAAGTGTTGAATAGACATACCTGCACCATTACCAACATGTACCTTATCGGATCCATTATATTCAGAACAGGTGGTGAGATTGTTAATATCATTGGTGAGGTGATGGGTTGTACCAGAATCAGGATACCAGGAATTGTCAACAAGAGAGGCAGGACCAGCTAAGTAAGCTGTTGGATTGTGAAAAGTGGATGGTGGTGGTGGTGGTGTTCTCTGATTTGTAGTAACTGTAGGTGTGCTTTGTGGAGAAGAATCATAGCGATAAAAGCATCTAGACGCAGGGTGGCCATTTCTGCCACATATTTGACATTGAAGTCGATTTTGATTCCAAGAGGAGTTGGAATATCTGTCTCCTCTGCCTCTTCGAACACCAAAATTACGATTACCAGCAGGTTCTGATGGCTGATTTTGTGTATTGAAAGTGGCTGCAGGGTCTTGAGATGGATTTCTTTGATTGAAATTGGCTTGAATGGAGGGGAGTTCTATTTTCTTGAAACGATCAAGCATGTCTTCTTGTGCCAGTAGAAAGGCTTCTAATTCAATGATAGAGAATGGAGGAGATCTTGACATTGCAGATGTAATGAGGGGAGCATATTCTTCTCCCAATCCATCAAGAATTGCTTCATTGTATTCATTATCAGTAAGAGGTGCACCAACAGCTCCTAAAGAGTCAATTATCTTCTTGATTTGCAGTAGATATTCAGAGGCTGGACCTTTTTTCTTGGTGTTCTTTAATAAGTTCTTGAGTTGCTTGATTTTGGCTTGAGTATGAGAAGCGAAATATACCTGAAGTTTGATCCAGATCTCATATGCATGAGTGCAGCCAACCATTCTGTTTTTGACGGACATGTTCATCGAAGAAAGAAGCCATGAGACAAGAAGATTGTCTTGTTGATGCCATTGAGTGTATGCAGCATTGATGATCTGAAGATCTTGATCTTCTGGTGTCTGATACTGAGGTGGAATTTTTTCTTTATCAAGATGATCCTGAAGATCATGACCATGGATGGTTGCAAGGGCAAGTTGTTGCCATGGGAGAAAACTGTCTTCATCTAGTTTATCTGCAATTGGTTGGGAAAAAGACTTCATGATGATTTTCGTTGTTGACGTGTTGGCATTGCTCATGGAGGTTGCATCTGATCGCGGAGAGGCCATGGATCTTGTGGTGCTCTGATACCATGAAAAGTATCAGACCCATGAAGCAAGATAACTCTCAAATGAGAGTTCTAAATGAAAAGATAGAAAAGAAAGCATGTAACTGAATAATACTTTGTATATTGATTGATTGTTATTTCTCTGTTTACATTCTGCTATATATACAGAAGAGGATAAACTAACAGGTGTAACTACTTTAACTAACTCTTAATGGATTGGGTCTTGATGACCCATTATCCTAATATATGCTTATCATGGATCTTGTTAAATCTTTTGCGAGTTATGTCATAAACTCCGTTAGGTCGCTTCACGTATTCTTTATTCATTATCACCAAAAAAAAAAAATAATAATATTATTTTGGGTCCCTAACAAAAAATACGGTTCCTACCTTAGTCCCTTACAAAAAAAAATTAGTGGGTTACCCTATGAAATTTAGAGTGGATCCATTTTAGTCCTTTTGAGTGACTAATTTGGGTGACCACGATTTAAACTAAGTGGGTCCACTTTGAATTTCTTAGTCTTTTTGAGTGACTAATTTGAATTTTTTTTTGAATTTATAAGGGACCACGATTTTAACTAAGTGGGTCCACTTTGAATTTCTTAGAGACCTCGAGACTAATTTTTTTTTTTGTAAGAGACTAAAGTAAGGACTTAGGGTATATAGATAAAAGTTAAATAAAAAGCCCAGGAATCTTTACATAAGTGCATCATGTACAACACTCGATATTTGATTTAAATTTTATTATAAACTGTTATAAATTTAATCTAATGTGAATTATGATTACATTGCCAACGTGTTATAACTTAAATGGTGTTATAATGTCCACGACATGTTATATTTATGTGCATTAATGACATGTTAATACTTGTTAGTACCAAGTTGGGTATTTCAGATTAATACAAAAATCTCTCCAGAAACTAAAAGTGAAAGGAGAGATATTTTGTTTGTTTTTTTATTTCCGTCAAATTTAACGTGTAGTGTACATGCAGAGTGAAAAAGAGCAAGTTATTAAACTCGGCCATGATATTCGGTTGTGAGTCACTCATTGAGTTGATTGGGCTGAATTTGTATATTAATATACAATAAATATACTAATAGATGTATTAAAGTAGTTAAATTTAAATCTACCCATCCTTGAGGTGGAAGGTTCAATTCCCCATACTTGTAAATTTATCATATTTTGGACTAAAAGACCCAAAAAAAAAAAAAAATCAGTTCAGTCCAGCTTTAACAACAACGAATAAGAGCTTAATTTAACTGATATTCACTGATAGTCCATGTGTAAATATATCGCTACAAGTTTTCATTGAGACTTATAACATGTCCTAATGCTAGAATGTGTGGTACCACAAAAAGAAAGTGACTATAGAAAGTTCCTAAGAGGTACAACATTCATATTTTGACCAAGTGCAGCTCTCAATGATTCAAATCACCAACCACAAGGCCATAGCAGCATTATTTAGCAATGCAACTCAGAGAAAGATATATTCATATGGCTTAAAAAAGCATCGGCTTTTAATGCAACTACCAAAATTGAAACATCCTGTTCCGTAAATAAGAAATGTATGAGGCAAACAAGGTAATCCAAAATAATCGAAATTCATTAGCAAGCGACTACACAAAATCAAAATACCAAAAATAAGGACAGTAGAATATACACCTCAACTATGATTTTCCTCTTCATTCCTTCTATATGTTCAATGTCTGCATAACTAATTCCAGCTTTCCCATTTCCTTCTGCGGTCATTGTAGTGACCGGAATCACGCTGCCTTTTCATCTCTGGTTGCCTGGCCGGTGATCTCCCACTCTTTCTCTTGCGATTGTTGAACAAGGATGAAGCATCATCCATCATGTCCCTTTTTACAACAATCTCGGTATCCATGTCTTTCTGTAACTGATCCTTCATGCCATTGTGTTTCAGTCTCGAATTTCTGTTTTCCTCATGGTCCTTATCATTAGCATCATCAGGTTTAGACCAGCTCTGTCTTATCTCCTTATTTTTCTCACCATGAACTGCGAATTCAACTCCATTTTCAAGCTCCCTCTCAATGAGATCATCCTCATCCATTACATCTTTCTTCAATGTCATTTCCCCTCGCTCCTTCCTCCTTTTTTCCATGGCGGCCTTCACTTTGTCTTTATCAATCATCTTGATTGCTTCTTTTGATGAGTGATCAAGTAGGCATTCCCGAAGCACCGGATTTCGACCCGCATTGCAGCTAGACTTGTGTGATGCTGAATCATACCTCCTTCCTACTTCTGCAGCCTCTTTTATTACATTCATGCTATCTTGATCTCCTGCACTTATCCGTTCAGTCCCAGAGTCCCGAAGCACCAAATTTTGTGCATTGCAGCTAGATGACTTGTGTGATGCTGAATCATTCCTCCATCCTACTTCTGCATCCTCTTTTATTACATTCCTTCTATCTTGATCTCCTGCACTTATCCGTTCAGTCCCAGAGTTAGATATATTGATCACTTCACCCTTGTCATCTTTCTTAGGCAAATGTTCAGACTTCTGACTCTCTCTGAGTTCTAAGTCCACCTTATGATCAGTAATGTCACTACCCATTTCAGCACTCTCATCATTGCTCCGGTTTTCGGTTCCTCTAAGTGGCACCTCAGAATATCCTGCAGATGTATGCTCAGGGGTTGAATGAGATGATGTTTGCTTCAAGGATCGCTCCTCCTCCATAGCAAGACCCTTGGCTGCGGCTCTGGTTATCCCTCCAGCACTTGCACTTCCATCTACATCACTTCCTTGACATGGTGGAACTCTATTCTGCTCATAGAGTTCCAACATTTGATTGCTAACCTCTGCAAGAGAATACAACCACAAGGATTCAGAAGGATATCGAGAAACATTCAGCTATCAAACACAAAATAAAGCCCATTGGTTACTAGCAAACTACACATGGCATAAACTGGCTTTCTTCTCTCTAATGAAGACACCAAACTTAGTCAGGAGGGTAACCATCCAGATATTCAACTCGTTGCATACTGCTTAGCTTAATCAAGAGTAACATGTACAAATGGCAACAGTAAAGCTTTCAATGGTTTTCAAAAATCCAAGAAACACGTGACAGTGATTTTTATTTTGCATTAAGTCAACGGAACATAAAAGGATCACCAGTTGGGTAAATTTATTTGTATGCAAATGAATTGAGGGAATGACACCAACCTTCCAATTGGTGTGGGGTGACATCAAACTCTTGCCACCAAGCCTTCTCCCCATCTGAAGGAAGCTTCACTTTTAAGAACTTTGCAGCAAGGAAAATGGCACCGGCTGCAATATGATGTGGCTTAAATTGCAAGCAGAGCGGTGTCCTCAGCCTGAAAGACACTAACAAATATATTATTAAAATGGAATCAACAAAGTTAAATTACAACATTGGTAAACATAATCATACCCATCATTAACAAAGTTCCATGCAACTTGTGCGAGTGCATTTTTTGAGACTTTGAACTTCTTTATGGCTTCAACAAGGGGCTTATAGGGATGTTGAACATTAAAGGTAAAACCTAAAGTGGCAAGTACAACCCTCTCTCCAAGTAAAATTAACTCTTTCTGCTGCTCATATACTTCCTGCATCATTTAGAAATTTTAAATAATATTTAGTATATATAAAATATAGAGGACCAAAGAGATACAGATAGTTATTGGAGTAAAATCGGTGAAATCAGATCAACAATCCAATAGAGGCAGGTACAGGGAGAGAATGTTACATAAATGATATAATTCCAACCAAACATTTATTTTTAAGAGGCCAAGCAAGTAAATAAAAATCACAGGAGGCTTTTCATAATTTACATGGCAGCCAAATATTTCATGTTTGAGCATGCATTATAACCTAGCAGCAATGTGGTTTCAGATAAATCCAGAATTTAGAATGAAGATCCATAGGAATGAAATGGTCAAAGCACCACCAATACCTTCTGTTTTATCCGGCGCAAGGCAGCAGGATCCTTCTTGTGAATGATCTCGTAAGAAATAAGAATAACATCCCTTAGTGGACGAGGAGTGTCTTCAACCTTCCCAGCAAGGAACATACAGACAGTTGCAATGGTCTGCAAAAGATGTTCACCAAGTATGAGATTCCAATTTACCTTTAAGTTTATTCCTACCTTTACATCTACCATTCTCTTAATATACAGTTGGATAAGAACTAGTGTTTGGCTATTAATTTTATCATCTCCGATCTGTACAAAGTTGTCTAATAAGCCACCATGGATCCAACAATTGAAGGGAGCAGTTTCAAAAAAATAAGACTGCAACCAACCAAAAAATCTCATGGCTGAAACTGATAACCTAAAATGATTAATTACCATTCCATCACTCGGTATGTAAAGATTACTGACAACTTCATCCAGTTCAACATTTAGTAACAATACATATTTATTATTTTCATGAATAATTAAGTAGATGTGGAAAAAAACTTTTAGGATTTAAAAGGACTATAAGCAAACTTGAATGAGATAACTACACTCCTGATAGCAAATAAATAACTATGGGATTCACAATAATGATAAGGCAAAAAAGTGTTAAAGACCTTGACTGACACTCCGCTAATCAGAAAACTATGTAATAGTAGTTGAAATTTGAATAAGGAACCATGTACAGAACATTAAAAATTAAATTAAGAAAAAGAACTATGTGCAGAACAAACCACCTTCAAGATAGTATTAAGATATTCCTGTCTATCTGTTAAATAACTGTGCTTGCTACACAGGCCACTCGCCATTTTATGCTTAGGATGAACTAGTAATTAACCACAACGACAAGGGCACAAATATATCACACTAACTTCAAGCACAACTTGCTAAAGATCAGGACAGATAAAATGCCTACATAATATGAATTATAAAGTGAAAAAACCCACCCATCGGTCGTTCCTTGCATGAGATTGTTGAAGAAAGAATTTATGGCAAAAGATTATGGCCGTTGCTATAGTTACCTGAGGCCTGGAAGGAGCAAAGTTATAACCAATATGTAAATCTCCAACTGAATTGCTAGAACAAGGTTCACAAATTAACAACAGAATCCTAGTGTATTTGAAAAGGTAAATGCCAGATGAATTTCTTTGGATAAAAGGCAAATGTTAGATATATGACCTCAGAATGAGTATGGAAATATTCGTAAATAACAACAGTAGCAGAAAGCTCACACTCTAAGCCTCATGCCTAAATCCTGTAAGAATGTGCAATATGACTTGCGCAAATATGTCTCTTTCTTCCAGTCAATTCCATCTTTTTTTGATGGGGAGTTTTCCATTATTTCTTTCCTAGACATATACCAGGGACGTAATGCTTCCTCTTGCTTGTCTTTAGAACTTTCACAGAAATTGTCATCAGCTGCTCCACGATGTGACAACTCCCAATTCATGAGTTCTGTCACATGTAACCCTTTGGCTGTGCTATGAATAAATTCTGTACCCTTCTTTGCCATCATGTACTAGGATGATTCTGGAGACAACATAAGAATGGAACAGCTTCAATACTTAGTAGTCACACTATAAATAGTATGCGACCACTCAAAACTTGAAGTAAAAAAAAAAAAACAAAGAACAAAGAACAAAAGCAAAATATGCTTTTCTGACTCATTGCCCTATCCATCAATAATCTTGATTGTTTGTTGCTGTAATAAGGTTTTAAATCCATTCAAAACCCAACACAAACCAAAATACCCGAAAGCACTAAGGAAAAGACTGAATCTTTGATGACAAATTCCCATATGGGAAACATTTAAACCCATTGCAAAAAGGGTTTCATCAAATCACTAAAAAGACTCAAACTTCGCATTGAAAAAAAAAATGGGGGGGGGGGGGGGGGGGGGGGTGGGGACGATGAAAGGCATCAAAGAAAAAAGAAGGCACAGAAGATAAAAAGGAGAAAGAAGCCACATACTGTGATAGTTGCAGCGAAACCCTCCTTTGATTGTCTACTATCCTTGTAATCGCGTCTCACCCTCGTTTCAATCTGAAGACTCTATTTATGAATACGTTCGCCGGTAAAAGCAGGATGTGCGGGAATTGGGTTTTATTTTCTTCTACCAATCAGTAATCTTTCAAATATCTTTCTACCAAACACACCTTTATAAGAAATCTTGATATTAAATAGAGATTTTAAATATTTTTCAAAAATTAACCAAATTTTTTTTACCCTTAAATAAAATTTTTAAAAGTAAGATATTTGATCTTTTCAAATAAAAAATATGTAAAATTTAAATATCTTATTTTATTATGCAATGTAATTCTAATTTAAATATTTGGTAAAGAATATTTTATTTTTCTTACATGAAATCTAAAAAGATAAAATCTATCCTAAATCTTACTTGATTTCATGTTTTTTTTCTCTCTTCATGATATCTTTCATATTTTCTCCAATTTTCATGCAATCTTCAATCATCTTAAATACTATTTCAAATAAAATAAATATTATTCTAAAATCTCAAACAATCATCTCATTAGTAATTTCAAGATACTAAATTATTATCAATTAAATTAATATTAAATTAATTATAATCATCAAAATATATTTTAAATCTGTTAAATAACGAGAGAAAAGAGATGAACATTTGAAATATTTCTGTGTGTATTAACTGATGAATGATGTACAATATATAAACAAACTAATGGGTTAAGCCCAAACCTAATGTAATCAGACCTAATACAAAATAAGAATACAAAATAAGGAAACCCTAATTACAATATATTTCTAACAAAATCAATTAAACAATTGAGTATAACAAATATCCAACACATCTATTATCCAATTATTTGATTAATATGATTCGAGCACTATCAGATTTAATATAAGGACACATCAAGACCATTTTTTGATTCCTAGACCCTTGAGCTCAATATCTAGGGGAACTTGGAAAAACTATTAAATATAAAAAACAATGAGTTTAATAATTGTATAAATATTTTTCTAATTTATTTTCCGATAATATAATGTTTCTGTTCATAATAAAAGAATTTGTACCCAATGGGTGCAGCTCAGTTGGTAACTTGGCGCTGAGTTAGTGGGGTTGGATATGTGTTCGATTCCCGCTGAATGCATTCTTGGGGAGGGGGCTGAACCTTTAGCCATCACTGTTCCCCCGCACTCTGGATTAGTCTCATAGCCGGCTCAAAGAGTCGAAGCTCGTGGGGATACCGGAGGGAGCCAACTCGTCTCAAAGAGATAATTAGGGTTGGGTAACTCAAAAAAAAAAAAAGAATTTGATTGTACACGCTTGTGCCACCTAAATTTAGGGGTCAAATGAACTTTTTTTAACACTTATATCGGTTAGTTTTTTTTTTTCAAAAATAAAATTGTTTTTAGAAAAAAAATTAAAAAATTAAAACTCTCTACGTATGTAACTTTAAATTACATTTTAAAATTTACTAAAAAAATTCTTGAACATTCTCAAACTTTTTTTTATTGTGAAATGCTAAAGAAAATAACTTTTGCTATTACTATATTTGCTATTAAAAAAATAAATTGAAAAATGGGTTAAATAAAAACTCAAGTCAACGATGAACAAATTAAAAATGATGTAAGCTTTTTTAATTTGATATCCAAAGACAACAAATTCGTATATAATCAAAAACCTATCCAATCCAAACCGAAAAAAATTAGATTGGGTCGGATCGGATTTGAAAAAAAATTCAAACCGAATGGATAATTAAATTATATGATCAAATCAAAGGGATTGGATCAGATGATTTTTGCTTCCAAAACCGATCCAATCCAAACCGCGAACACCCCTAATTTTATCCAATCAATCCAATAGATTGATTTTCCCAATTTCAGCCAATTAATTTAATTAATTGGTTTGCTTAATTTTATTCAATCAATTCAATTAATTTGTTTCCCCAATTTCAGCCAATTAATTTAATTAATTTGTTTCCTTAATTTTATTCAATTAATTATTTCCCCCAATTTCAACCAATTAATTTAATTAATTGGTTTTCTTAATTTTATTCAATCAATCCAATTGATTTGTTTCTCCAATTTCAGTCAATTAATTTAATTAATTTGTTTTTTTAATTTTGGTCAATCAATCCAATCGATTTATTTTCCCAATTTCAGCCAATTAATTTAATTAATTGGTTTCATTAATTTTGGTCAATCAGTCCAATTGATTTGTTTCCAATCAATCTATATAATTTTATTAATTTAACATTTAATTTAAGTAGATTACATCATGGATCACGTCCAACATTAGGTATCTTTTTAAGAGATTATTTTTTGAATTTTCAATGGAAAAAATTTTCGTATGAATTTTCAACGTAAAACTATGCCGTTGCATTTTTCAAAGGAATATTTCCGTTGAAATTTTAAACGAAATATTATTCTGTTGTAATTATCAACAGAATTTGTTGTCCGTTGATATTTTTCGATTAAAAATAAGTATTTGACAGAAAATTTTAACAGAATTTAATTTCCGTTAAAATTTTTGACGGAATTTATTTTCCGTTGAAAATTTTCGTCTCAAAATTCAACGGAAATTTTTTCCCTCTGTATTTCCAACGGAATTGAATTTTCGTCAAAAATTCCGTTACTATTTTTGACGGAATATTTTCCGTGGATAAATTCCGTCGATAATAGAGCTTTTTTTAGTAGTGATGTCCCCTAAGAAATAATAGTAAAAATATTCAAAAAATACTCTACTATAAATAGTAGTATTACAAATAATTCAAACTTCCCTAGTCACATTAAATATAGACTCAAACTCCACCCCGATAAAGGTGGTTTATAGATTCTTCAGTGCCACACTCAAAATTCTCTTCAGATAATTCACTCAAGTTGTCTTAGCTCTCTCACTATTTCTCCAGAAACAACTTCTTTGTGGCAACAAGTAATTCAAAGCAAAAGCAGTTTCGATCATAACACCAATAGATGGGACGCCACCCGAGCAATCAGCACAAATAATATGAAACCTATTTACTAATAATTTCAAAACCTAACACAAACCAAGATACCTGAAAGCTCCATCAGAATACCAATTCTATTAGATCATTCCTGAATCACCCAGATAAAAAAAATAAAAAATACTAACAGTCCGAAACGTCCAAGGATAGTCAGAAAATACAAAGAAACATAACAGCGATTAAGAAAATACAAAATTTTCTTAGGAAAAGACGGAATCTTGATGATAAATTCCCATATGGAAAACATTTAAGAGCGAAAAGGGTTTCATCAAATGCACTAAAAAGACTCAAACTTCGCATTGGGGCATCGGCGGACCCACACTATTGCAAGTGTGGGCACTTGCACACACAAAATTTGGGGAAAAGAAAAAAATTTGCAAAGAATTGAGGGTGATTTGAATAGCTCATAATGTAAAAGATGTCAAAGTTAAAATTAGTGTTAAGAACATATGTTTGGTTGTCGGCTAGTGTGTTATAGGAAATGTCTAGCCATGCACTTTTTAGATATAAAATTGGTTGTACAACCAAAAAGATTGAAATTTATTGGAGTTTATATGAAATGTTGTACAACTCATAAGGTAAATTTTTTTATATAATTATATTTTATATCAAAATAATAACAAAAAAATAGGGCAAGATTATTTTTGCATCACTATAAAAATAAAAATCTTAACAAATAATCATTGCATGAAATTATAATAGTTTAATTGACTCTTGATTATTATGTTAAGTGAAAAAAAATTTGTTCTTTTTTCAGGGACACCATTGAATGTGTAGACATAAATAAAATTTTCTAGGTCTGCTACTGCATTGAGGTATGCATTGAAAAATAAGAAAAGGGCAGGATGAAAGGCATCAAAGAAAAAGAAGGCATATAAGAGAAAAAGGAGAAAGAATCCGCTACATACAGTGATAAGAGGCAGCAAAACCACAGGTAGAGCAGAGCAAACCCTCCCTCGTCTTTGATTGTCTACGATCCTTGAAGGCTTGAAAGCAATAATCACGTCTCACCCTCAATTCAAGTTGGGAAGACTTAATGAATATGTTTATAAGAATTCTTAATATTAAATAAGAAAAGGGCAGGATGAAAGGCATCAAAGAAAAAAATGCGTCTACAATCCTTGAAGGCAGTAATAGCATCTCAATTCAATCTTGTTGGTTTATACCATAAAAATTTGGGAAGAATTAATGAATACGATAACAATTCTTAATATTCCTTAATATTAATAGAAAAAATAGATGTATAAAATATATTTGAATTACATTTTCTTAACAAGAAGAAATATACTTGTATTTAATAAATTAAATTCAAACATTCTAATAAATAAAAATCTTCTCTCTCTCTATATATATATATATATATATACTCTAAGTTTTCTATTTTAATTACACTAGTTTATATTCATACTAATTTCAATTTTTAACCCATCTTTTTATAAAACTAGTGCATTACCCGTGCGATGCACAGAGGAAAAAGATAAAAAATATATTCATATTAATTCCAATTTTTAACCCATCTTTTTATAAAACTAGTGCATTACACGTTCGATGCACGGAGAAAAAAGATCAAAAATTTTGTCGTCGTTGATTAATTTATAAAAAAAGAATGTGTCATTATTTCTATATATATATATATATATATATATATATATATATATATATATATATATATAAGGCTTATCGTTTATCAAACTGCTTGAGATAATTTTATCTCCGGCTACTAAATCATAACAGTACAAAGATGAATCAATGGTGATAAATGAAGAGAGAGAAAAAGGAAATCATAACCATTCAAAGGTGAATCAATTAATATAAGAAAATAAATAAACAAAATGACGTAGTTTTAGGTGGTCGGAGATAAACTTATATCAAGCTGCTTGAGAAATGTTTTTTCCATATATATATTAGTGTATTACTCGTGTGACGCACAGGGGAAAAAAATTAATCTGTTTGTCTCATAAAAATTAACACAAATCGTAAAAGAATATCACTGCATTTTATGCAATTAAGTTAATGAATGGTCTTTTAAATCACCACATTTAACTTCAACTATGCAGTGTTTATTGGAATATTAGACGTACTAACTCAAATATTTGTCAACTCTACATGTACAAAAAGTTGGAGTTAGGTACTCATAGTGTTAGTTAGACACTAACGACCCTCCGGATCAAGCTTATTTTGTCATCTCTAACTGTCAACATTTTACATCAACATGGTTTGTTAGACAGTAAATATAAGAGAGAGAAAATATGTTGGCGGGCTAACTCGCCCGTTTGGAAGGTGGGGTGAGCCGGTCCTCTGGACCGAGCTCATTTTGTCACCTCTAACTATCAGCATTTTATATACTTTGCATTGCAATTCAAACCCATGACTTGTAAGTTACATGACAACAACTTCAACCGTTGTCCAAAACTTGGTTGTTCTGGTTAACATGATAAACAACTTCAACTTTGAGCAAAGGCTTGGTTATTCTAGATAGGTATTTCAATTTCAGCTTCAAACCTTGTTCTTGACTTTTAGCGGCTAGTTGACTGGACATTCAACAAAAATCATTCATATATAGAGACATAAATTAAATATGTACAAGAACCATTTTTCAATTTGATTTGATCATCATTAATCACAGTGTTCAGTTCTATTAAACCGTATAATGATACTTCAGGGGTATGCGCTCAGAGATATCCTATGGATAGGTATCTTGGTTGGCTTATAGCCAATATCCCCATCACTGCGCACAAGCAATAGGCTTACAGCCGAGACGTGGGTGTGTGCACAGTGTGGGCAAAAGTAGTAAATGAGTTCAGACTGTATACCTGGGGTCTTTAACCTCTTATTTATAAGGGTTACCTCTTGGGCTTGTGTAGATCTTCCAGTTGTAGTAGGATTTAACTTCCTTTCTGTTAAGATAGGGACTCTATCCTTAGCTGCCTTACTGTTTTATATTGTTAGAAGAATTGGAGAATTATCCTTTAAGGGATCCTTGGGTAGGTGGTTAGGATATGGAAATATTCCATAACAGTTTCCCCCAGCCCGGCAGTTCGGAAGCTCGGACTGCTAGGGTGCCTAAGTTTGATTGATAGATCGACCCTACCGAGGTACTATGATCCTGGGCTTTTTGACCCTTATAACCTTTTATTAATAATTAATTACCAAATTGACCTTCATTATAAACTATTTCAAAAATTTAACCCCCTCAAAAAATATAACACCAATCTATCCCTGTTTGACCGTTGACCACCAAGCCTACCCGGGTACACCCCTCCCTACCCGGGTATTTTTTGAATTTTTTTGCCTACCCGGGTAGTGAGAGGTGTACCCGGGTATTGTTCTTGGCACTTGAAAAATTGCTTGAACTATTTACCCGGGTAGGTATGGGTGTACCCAGGTAAATCTCCACATCTTGCTGGGAAATTGCTTGAATTTTTTGCCAACGTTTCCTTTCTTCCATTTCCGGTGGGAAGAACTACTTCTGTGGCATCAGGTCTGGTAACTCTAGTTTGTATTGTTGGGACACTGTCTCTTCCTTCAAAAGGAAAAGACTTTACAACAATGGTTCTGTTCCTTTGGAGAATCTTGCTGTTGGGGATGCTCAAGTTTGCACGACGGTGGGGTGTTGGAGAACCAATGACACGTTTCAATTGCCATCTGGGTCTGATGAATTTGCTTCAATTTCATCTAGGTATGGCTTCTCTTGTGGAATTCTGAGGATTGGTTCTTTGGTTAAGTGTTGGGGAGATATGGATATTGCGAGTCAGATAGAGAATGAGTTTGGAAACATGTCCATGTTGAGTATTGTAGCGGGTGGTTCACATGTTTGTGGGTTGAATTCAACTGGGTTTTTGGTATGCAGAGGGAGTAACAGTTTTGGGCAAGTGAATGTTCCCCAAGGTGGGCTTTTGAGTTTGGTGGGTTGGCATTGGGAGCTGAGCATGGTTGTGCAGTTAGAAGATGAAGATGCAGAGATTTACCCGGGTACACCCCTTCTTACCCGGGTAAATAATTCAAGCAATTTTTCAAGTGTCAAGAACAATACCCGGGTACACTCCTCTTTACCCGGGTAAGCAAAAATTTCAAAAAATATCCGGGTAGAGAGGGGTGTACCCGGGTAGGCTTGGTGGTCAATGGTCAAACAGGGGCAGATTGGTGTTATGTTTTTTGAGGGGGTTAAATTTTTGAAATAGTTTAAAATGAAGGTCAATTTGATAATTAATTATTAATAAAGGGTTATAAGGGTAAAAAAGCCATGATCCTGCCTTGGGTCTGGTGTGACTACCTCTTCTGGGTATAGCTTTTTATATTGGCTTCTTTCCTCTTGAAGTCTCTGAGTGGTGAGGCGGTGTTTGCCTTTTTTTGTTGACTTTGAGCTCGGCTTCTCTTGCCGAGATTTTTTAATTTGACTTGGCTTTTGCCTTGCCTACACTTTTGAAGGCAGTATATTTGCCTTTCTGATTTTAGCCCGGCTTAACGTATCGTGGCTTTTCTAGACTTTTTTCCATATTTTGTTTGAGCCTGGCTTCGCATATCGTCTCGATTTGTCTTTTATCTTAAATTGGGATGTGATTTTTTTCTTAAGATCGCATCTCTCCTTTTCTGTCTTCATTTTGATCTCAGAGCCTGAAGCTATGGCTTACGCTGAGTTGAAGCTCAAGGCTGAGGCCGAGCTTTAATCTTGAAGCCCTTTGTTGAGCTCAAGGCCGTGGCTAAGCTCTTAAACTTGAAGCCCTTCGTTGGGCTTAGCTCAAGGCTTTGGCCGAGCTCTTAAACTTGAAGCCCTTCACTGGGCTGAGTTGGAGCTCAAGGCTGAGGCTGAGCTCTTAAACTTGAAGCCCTTCGTTGGGCTGAGCTCAAGGTCGTGGCCGAGCTCTTAAACTTGAAGCCCTTCGTTGGGCTGAGCTCAAGGCTTTGGCCGAGCTATTAAAGTTGAAGCCCTTCACTGGGCTGAGTTGGAGCTCAAGGCTGAGGCTGAGCTCTTAAACTTGAAGCCCTTCGTTGGGCTGAGCTCAAGGCTTTGGCTGAACTCTTAAACTTGAAGCCCTTAACTGGGCTGAGTTGGAGCTTAAGGCTGAGGCTGAGCTCTTAAACTTGAAGCCCTTCGTTGGGATGAGCTCAAGGCTTTGGCAGAGCTCTTAAACTTGAAGCCCTTCACTGGGCTGAGTTGGAGCTCAAGGCTGAGGCTGAGCTCTTAAACATGAAGCCCTTCGTTGGGCTGAGCTCAAGGCTTTGGCCGAGCTCTTAAACTTGAAGCCCTTCACTGGGCTGAGTTGGAGCTCAAGGCTGAGGCTGAGCTCTTAAACTTGAAGCCCTTTGTTGGGCTGAGCTCAAGGTCGTGGCCGAGCTCTTAAACTTGAAGCCCTTCATTGGGCTGAGCTCAAGGCTGTGGCCGAGCTCTTAAACTTAAAGCCCATCACTGGGCTGAGTTGGAGCTCAAGGCTAGGCTGAGGCTGAGCTCTTAAACTTGAAGCCCTTCGTTGGGCTGAGCTCAAGGCTTTGGCCGAGCTCTTAAACTTGAAGCCATTCACTGGGCTGAGTTGGAGCTCAAGGCTGAGGCTGAGCTCTTAAACTTGAAGCCCTTCGTTGGGCTAAGCTCAAAGCCGTGGCCGAGCTCTTAAACTTGAAGCCCTTCGTTGGGCTGAGCTCAAGGCTGTGGCCGAGCTCTTAAACTTGAAGCCCTTCACTGGGCTGAGTTGGAGCTCAAGGCTGAGGCTGAGCTCTTAAACTTGAAGCCCTTCGTTAGGCTGAGCTCAAGGCTGAGGCTGAGCTCTTAAACTTGAAGCCCTTTGTTGGGCTAAGCTCAAGGCTGTGGCCGAGCTCTTAAACTCTTCGTTGGCCTGAGCTCAAGGCTTTGGCCGAGCTCTTAAACTTGAAGCCCTTCACTAGGCTGAGTTGGAGCTCAAGGCTGAGGCTGAGCTCTTAAAATTGAAGCCCTTCGTTGGCTGAGCTCGAGGCCGTGGCCGAGCTAATAAATTTGACTTGTGACGACAATAATCTCTGTCAAATCGTCATCTGCTTGGATCTAGAGCTCCATTCTAGAGTCTCTCGTAGGATCAAAAGCCTTTGTTATGGTAGGGTTTGTCTCCTCATATATATGTGGTTTCAGTAATTTCAGGGCGCGTGAGGTTGCCTTTTAATCTGTGGCTTCATGCTATGCTGCGCGTGTCCACCATGGATGGGAGTCGAAATTTGCTATTTCCCACAGACGGTGCCAATGTTCAGTTCTATTAAACCGTATAATGATACTTCAAGGGTATGCGCTCAGAGATATCCTATGGATAGGTATCTTGGTTGGCTTATAGCCAATATGCCCATCACTGCGCACAAGCAATAGGCTTACAGCCGAGACGTGGGTGTGTGCACAGTGTGGGCAGAGTGTGGGCAGAAGTAGTAAATGAGTTCAGACTGTATATCTGGGGTCTTTAACCTCTTATTTATAAGGGTTACCTCTTGGGCTTGTGTAGATCTCTCAGTTGTAGTAGGATTTAACTTCTTTTCTGTTAAGATAGAGACTCTATCCTTATCCTTAGCTGCCTTACTGTTTTATATTGTTAGAAGAATTGGAAAATTATCCTTAAGATAGGTGGTTAGGATATGGAAATATTTCATAACACACAGTTTGAATCATGTATCGTTTGAACCATTTTTTGAATAAAACTTACATATATCGGTCGTTTGAAGAATGAAAATATTTGTTCTGGATCCATATTATTGGTCCTATAAATTCGAGGTGATTATGGACTTTATACGTTATAAAGTTAACTCATGTATAAATAAATCGTTTAATCTCATAAGTTATTCTTCTGAAACTCTGGCCTCCTTTATGCTACTGCAAACACACACTATCATTGACTCTCTTAATCTTCTCGTTGTACACATAATATATGATCTATCACAACTCTCCTCCATTGTTATAGCTAGTTCACATGTCCAACATTAATCACGATACTTTTGGATCTAACAATATTAATTTAATTCAATGCCCTTACTACATTTGGGTTGTCATATTATTTTATTTTTTTGAATACAGGTTGTCATATTATTTAGTTATGGATATTGCAATGCACTATGACTATATGAGTGTTGTGACTTTTTATGTTTATTGCGAATTGCAATGCATTATGCAACGAGAATGATTATTGGTTATGTCGCCGCCTCTAAATATATATTTTCATCGATAATATTATTCAGTCAACGAAGGAATTGGACCAGACGCATTGAAATGCCCCTATTAATTACAACAATTTTGGGTAGGATATTGAAATGCAATATGAAAGTTGTGACTTTCATTCCTGATTTATTTTTATTGCAAATTGCAATATAATATGCAATGAGAATGATTATTGGTATTGCGCCGCCTCTAAAAAAGTATTTTAATCGATCGATGAGATTCAGTCAATGACTATAATAAATGATTCCCTGTATTTCTGACATCAATTAGGTGTAACCATATATATTCATTGACTTGGCACTCACCTGTTACTAGTATATATACTTCTAGTTTTTTTGGTTTCTTATAACCATTTGTGCCATAATTCAACATATAGTCATGGAGAAAACTTTCTTCCTTTTAACTTTTGTCTTGTCATTCCACCATTTCATGGCCTCCCCAGATATAAGCAACATCAATGTCACTATAGACCAATCTACACTAATGGCCTTTAAGTCTTATATCACATTGGATCCCCAAGACATGTTGGCCAAAAATTGGTCTACCTCTGACTCTGTGTGCAACTGGTTTGGTGTCACTTGTGATACAAAGTATGGAAGGGTCACGGGCTTAAATCTCACAAACATGAATTTAAATGGTACCCTTCCTCCTCATTTAGGAAACTTAACTTTTCTTGTTGAGCTTGATCTTCATAACAATAGCTTTCATGGAATTGTACCAAAAGAGTTGGCCTTAATACCTAGATTGAAGGTGTTCAACTTGTGCACTAACAATTTTGGTGGAGAATTTCCAACATGGATGTGGGAGTTATCTAAACTCCAACATTTAAGTCTCTGCAATAACAGTTTTTCAGGTTTGGTTCCTGCATCCCTATCCAACTTGTCAGAGCTTGAAACTTTGGATTTGAGCTTTAATTTCTTACATGGGAGCATTCCACCTGAGCTTGGAAGGCTTCATAACTTGACATTTTTAGAGTTGGCAAACAATCATCTCTCCAGCGACATCCCTTCTTCAATCTTCAATATCTCCACACTTCAAGTGATTGATTTCTCGTATAATTTTTTATCAGGTAATTTTTTTTTCCTACTAAATTACATTGTCCTTAAATAATTTGCGATAAAGAGGTTGTCGATGTTATGTTATATAGATGTAGTAACTTACTTTTCGATCTAAGTACTGACACCTTTCTTTATTTGTTTTTATCCGTTCGGTTGTATAGAAAAATTGCGAATAGTGACAAAATGTCACTCTTCATCAAGTTTTTTATTTAAATGTCACGCGAACATTGTTATTTTCTAATCTGTCACGGGAGCAAGTTCGTTACCCGGTGTAGCGAACCGGTTTGCTGACGTGGTACGTTTCTAGTGAACACTAAGTTTGCTACAAGGGATAGCGAACTCCATATTTTTTTTTTAACTTGGTACTTGTTATCCACTAGAAATGTGACACATCAGCAAACTGAGTTCGCTACACCGGGTAGCGAACTTGTCCTGTAACAGATTAAAAAATAACATTATTCACGTGACATTTAAATAAAAAATTTGATGAAGAGTCACATTTTGTTCTCTGTTTCAAAAATTCATGCATATCCGTTACTCATAAGTCATACACTCATACTAATACCTCATGGCTGAAAAGTCAAATATACACGCAATATTGTCACTGTTATTGAAATAATTTGTGGCATTTTTTTATGTAGAAAAAAAGAGAGAGAAGCGATAAATTTTCTTCTTATTCTTAGCGAAATTAAGATCATGACATTTTCGTTGATGAAAGAAACTATATATTAATGAGAAAGTAAGGGAAATTACTATTGAAACCTCAACAAATTTTAGATGATGAAAATTGGCATGCAATATCATTTTATTGTGGTTAAATTATCTTATAACTTTTTATAGTTAATTTAATTAAATGTTTAAACAGATTCTTATAGTTTAAACTTTTTTAACAGAGTCCTTATGATTTAAAAAAATTTATGCTCTCTAACAAATGTTAACTTAATCTTACTAAAATATAAGAATATAAAGTTCAGATAACATGTTAATAATTTATTCAATTTTATTATTCATCAAATGATGAAGTCATAAAATTTTGTTATAGGAGACGAAGGGTCACACGATTCAAACGAGACAACATGATTGTCTTTCTCTTTAACCTAAAACAAAAATTTATATGAATTTGAGGAGCCCATGTTAATGCTTTCATGACTGCACGTCCTCAATTAAATCTTATAGTTGGCCTTAACATCTAAATGGCAGTACTAACCGACAATACAATTAATAATAGAAATTATACCCAGTTTTGGTTAGTCAAATTTCATAAATAAGGATAGCGTAATGAATAAATTAGAATAAAATTCAGTTAGATAAGTCCCAAACAGTAATCTCAATATTGTGCTGGGAGAAAAAAGTTGGATGGCTTTTTAGTCAGTTCAATATACCACTCAATAATTGATTTTTGAACAACTTTTTTTCTTTTTGACTTTTTTTGGTGAATATGAATGGTGCTGGCGCAATGTTAGCTAGCTAATAAATATAAGAATAATGCTATGTACAGACGATTCATTTATATAATTGTTTACTATTTTGTTATAAATAATTGAATTATTGATACACGTGTGCTTTGATTCTGTTATTATTTTTTATTTTTTTTGATACAATTATTTTGTTATTTTACCGTAATGAGAAATGTTGTGCGCAAACAATATTATTCTATAAATGTTACTATAGATAACCTTCTTTGCAGTGATTTTGATTATATCTTATCAACTATAGAAAAAATTAACCTTTGTACCAAATTAAAAATATAAATTAAGCCTCACTATGAAGAAATGGAGAATTATTTTATATATTTCTTACATTTGTGAAAATTGAACACATAATCTAATATAAACTATCAAACCCCTCGCCACACTGGTAACTTTTTATTTTATATATTTCCTTAATTTATTATCTCCGGACAAAAAAGAAGAATGATGTCAAATTTTAGGAAAAAAGAGTAAATATTCCAATTATTTTTAAAAATGATTTAGATATAAGACGCGTTAACTTTTAAAAAAGAAATTAAAACCCAATAATTGTTTTTAAGGTTCTATCTGAGGGGCTAATGTTTTCAATGGCTAAGAATTAATGTTATCCACATTTGTAGTTCTTTAAAAATTACATGTTTGCTTTTAATTTTTCAAAGGAGTAATCTGAAGATTAAAAAGAGAATATTGCAGGCAATTAATCTTACTTTTTTCTTTCCGAATGCTAGGAAGCATCCCTCAAAAAGTTGGTGATCTATCACAACTAAGAAGCATAAATTTGAGCAAAAACAACCTTTCAGGATCCATACCAATATACTTGTTCAACATATCTACACTTCAAGAGATTCAATTCACTTACAATAACCTATCTGGCTCTTTGCCATCTTATATGTGTCGTGGGCTTCCACTGCTTGAAAATCTTGACCTCTCTGGGAATTCATTTTCTGGTCAAATTCCACAAAGTTTGGATCAATGTAAAGAGCTCAAATATCTGAAGATGATCAACAATAGATTTTACGGACACCTGCCTAGTGATATCGGGAGATTATCTATGCTTGAGGAGTTAGATCTCAGTGACAACAATCTAACAGGTACATCGATAATATTTGTCAATCTTTTAATTACTGAGTCCTCATATATATCTTATAATATATCAATTTACTCAACCAAGTTAATTTTAGTCAATTCGCATTTTTATTTTTTTATTGAGATAAAAAAATCATTTATAATTTTAGTTATATAGTAAAGTGTATTTACAATTTTATTCTTTTTGTATTTATTTTTAAATATTTAGAGTCTTATCCTTTTTTATATGGTATCTTTCACTTTGAAACTAATTAATAAAAGATGTACATCTTTAAGTATTTAAGTAATTAGTTGTAGTAGTTTTGAAAAAGTAACAATTGGATACCAAAGTAGAAATTTTCCAATATAATAGTAAAATATATAATGGTTTAACTATAATTATATTGTCAATGGAAAATTCTGTGAAACTTATTTAATTATGTATTGTCTCATTAAAAATCTGATTAATAACAATTACCTAAAAGAGTATTTTTTTTTTTTAAGACGTATCAATATATAATTGAGTGATAAAGTAAAAAATACATCATTTGTACTTTAAGGGTGGATATAATTGGTAAGCGAGGTTTGCGCAAGAATGAGACTTTGGGGCCGAAAGGTCTCTCGTTCAAATTCTATGCGAAGCAATTTGGGGTCAGTGACAAAAACCTTCATATTTTTTTTGGATAAAAAACCTTCATATTGTATGCTATGAAAGGAATCTATCTCGTTCAATTAAGTGGGGACACATGGGAAAAAAAAAGCACCATTTACAAAGAGGATTTGTATTCCACTAATAATATTAAATAGCATTAAAAAGAAAAGGTTTTATGCTTGACTCTTTCTAGAAATCCAAAATAATCCCTTGATAGTACTAATATAAAATTGAGACAGACTTACCAAGAGTTTTTGGTCAAGTGGCAACTCACTTAGATCCTAGGATTTGATCTTCCCAAATATTATAGGCTTGGCCCTAGGAACTTATTTCCCTTGAACTTTTTTATCATAAAAAAGTAACGAAGCCAACATTAAATAGCATATACTTGATTCTGTTACAAAAAGGAGTTATCAATTTCCCTTAATTAACCAGAGTTAGCTGAAGACTAATATAAATTACTTTTGTCTCTAATATATCTTCTTATAAAACAGTTTTTCGGACTTGAAATGTTGTACATTGCATAAACCCATTAATCGTGTGGTCTAATAATATGTTAATGACCAACCCTCTCAAAAAGTTAAGCTCATAGGTGAAAGTTCCTTAATGATTGTTAAATATAATTGCAGGTTCACTTCCACCATCTCTTTTCAACATATCCTCTTTGAGACTAATAAATCTTCGGAACAACATCTTCGGTGGTCAACTTCCAGAAGAAATATGTCAGCAAGCTCACTCGCTTAAACAAATTTCCATATTAAATAACAAAGTTGGTGGAATCATTCCAAGGTCTATTAGCAACTGCACCACATTGAAAAAATTATTTTTGGGATCAAACTTTTTTACAGGTTTTCCTCTCATCTTCCTTCCCTTGATATTAATTACATTTATTAAAATGTCTATATAATCTAAATCAAAAGCAATCCATGACAGTTTTCAATCAATTAATATATTGCAGGTACCATACCTTACGAGATTGGTGACTTAAAAAACCTTCAGCAATTGCATTTGCAAAATAACAGACTTAGAGGATCTATTCCTCCAAACATCTTCAACCTCTCAGGGTTACAAAGTCTGTCACTATCATATAACCAACTCTCAGGAAATCTTCCAAATGTGTATCATAGCCTTTCCAATCTCCAATTCCTGTACCTTGCAAACAACAATCTTAGTGGAGAAATTCCAAGTGCCCTTTACAATGCTTCAATGCTTCATGAACTTGTACTTGCAAACAATTCATTCACTGGAGTTATACCTGACTCAATTGGGAATTTAAGGAACCTTCAACTCCTTTCTCTGGTAGGAAACAAGTTCACTAGTGATCCTTCTTCTCCAGAAATTAGTTTCCTCACTTCATTGACAAAGTGTAGACAATTGAAAAGGATTTGGTTATCATTGAATCCTCTTAATGGAACACTTCCAAATTCTATTGGAAACCTGTCAAGCTCTCTTCAAATTTTCAACGCCTGGAGTTGTAATATCAAGGGCGAAATTCCTTCAGAGATTGGTAATTTAAAGAACTTGTTTGATGTTGTTCTGAATGATAACCAACTTATTGGACAGGTTCCAAGTACAATTGGCACCTTGCCACTTCTCCAACGTTTGGATCTCTCAGACAACAATCTAAATGGCTCAATCCCAGGTCAGATTTGTCAGTTACTAAAGTTGAATGAGTTGAGTCTTAGCAAAAACAAATTTTCTGGGGCAGTGCCAGGATGCATGGGGAATCTTACTTCTCTAAGGAATCTTTACTTGGATTCCAATAACCTCAACTTTACAATACCTTCTTCCCTTTGGAGCCTCACTGATATCTTGGAGGTCAACTTTTCCTCTAATGGTTTCAGTGGCTCTTTGCCAACTGAGATAAATGGCATGAGTTCTGTGATAAAATTGGACATATCAAAGAATCATCTTTCTGGAAACATTCCCATTGAGATTGGTGGGTTGCAGAGGATATTGAACCTTTCATTAGCTAATAATATGTTACAAGGGCCTATTCCTGATTCAGTTGGCAATATGCTAAGCTTGGAATTTCTAGACTTTTCTCATAATCTTTTATCAGGAATCATCCCCAAGTCAATGGAGAACCTTCTTTATCTCAAATTTATCAACTTGTCTTATAATAAACTACAAGGGGAAATTCCTTCTGGTGGCCGTTTTGCAAATTTCACAGCTCAATCATTCATGATGAATGATGCACTTTGTGGAAGACCTGAGCTAGAAGTCCAACCATGTCCCAGAAGTAGTGGTGCTAAACATAGCAGGACAAGCAAAAAGATTATACTCAAAGTTATAGTACCCATAATTGTGTCTGGTGTCTTTGTTGGTTGTGCAATTTTTCTAATACACAGGAGAAAATCTAGTAAAGGTTTAACTGTTATAGACTTGCCAACATTCCAATTCCCAAGTCGAATTTCCTACTATGAACTTGTGGAAGCAACACAGCAATTTGATGAGAGCAATGTTCTTGGAAAAGGGGGTTTCAGTTCTGTGTACAGAGGTGAGCTTTCAAATGGGGTGGTGATTGCAGTCAAAGTATTCAATTTGGAAGTGCAACAAGCATCAAGGAGTTTTGATGTAGAATGTGAAGCAATGCGCAATCTTCGCCATCGTAATCTAGTTAAAGTCATTACCAGTTGTTCTAATGCCTTTGATTTCAAAGCTTTGGTTATGGAATTTGTGCCAAATGGGAGCCTAGAGAAGTGGTTGTATTCTCATAACTATTTCCTACCTTTCGTACAAAGGTTGGACATAGTAATAGATGTTGCATCTGCCTTGGAGTATCTCCATCATGGTAACTCAAAACCTGTGGTACACTGTGACCTGAAGCCAAGCAATGTTTTGTTGGATAAAAATATGGTTGCTCATGTTTGTGATTTTGGCATTGCTAAACTCTTGGAAGAAGGACAATCTCAAATTCACACCAACACCTTTGCAACTCCTGGTTACATTGCACCAGGTAAGTGACTGCATCTTTTATGTCCTTTAATATCTAACTTGAAAGATAACATTAATACTCTTATGCCACAGTTTCTTCTACACCACTTTTACAACTCTGTTACTAAATATAAAGGTTTTGATATTAATTTGCACCCTACAGTATTACACGATCTTTAACACTTTTCTTTTTTAGGATAAGAAAAAAGAGAAAAAGTCTGTTAGAATGTTTTTTTTTAGTATTGAAAAAATTAGTATAAGAATGGAATAAGTTTTTTGTATGTGAATATATATATATATATATATATATATAAACGGGTTTGCATTTTTCATTTAACATGACACAATAAATTTTCCTACACACACAACATTTTGTGGGGTCCACACTTTTTGAAGAAAAAAGAAGATTACGGCATGCAAAACGAATCTCTATAACATTACACAATCACTTTTCCTACAACATAACTTTTATAAAACCCATATATAAAAGATATGGGAACTAAGTTTCATTATTTTATTCACATTTTGCATCATAAACACTAGCAGTGACACACATGTATGCATGTATGAATTATAACCACTGGCAACTGGGATTGCAGAATATGGAACCAAAGGTGTTGTGTCCATTAAAGGAGATGCATACAGCTATGGTGTTATGCTGATGGAAGTATTCACAAGAAAGAAGCCAACTGATGAAATGTTTGTAGAGGGACTAAGCTTAAGGTCATGGATCCATGAGTCAATGCCACGTGGGATCATTCAGGTTGTAGACCCTAATTTGCTGGAGGGAGAGGAACAACTTGTTTCTGCTAAGAAAGTAGCTTTATTAAATATCATGGAGTTGGCTTTGAATTGCTCTGTAGAGTCCCCTGATGAGAGAATGAGTATGGAGGAAGTCTTTAGTCGCATGAACAAAATCAAAACTATATTTTTGCAGATGGTAGAAGAAAATTTAAGTTAAGAAAAATCATAAACTCATTTACTTTTCTTGTTAACTGTTAAAGTTGAAAATTTGTTTTATGTTATTTTCTTGTTAAAAATTCCAAGTTGTAGTATTTATCTCGTGATTGTATTTATAGTGGTTGCTAACGTTTAATGTTAGCTTTACAAGTTAGAGGTGACAATTGGTACGAGAAGTCATATTTATGTCTGGTCGAGTTCTAACACGAATACCAATACACTAAATGTCTAAATCCGAACATAATATAAATATTCTGTGTATTGAATGTTATTTTTACTAATTAATAATAATAACTATGGGTTCGTTTTTTCTACATTTACTGTAGATAATTATCTGCAGTAAGTTCAATACGATGTCGTTTTGGGACGGAAATCATGATATTTTTGTAATTTTAATTTATTTCAGGGTTATAATAGTCTTTATATTTAAATTTTTTAAGATTTCAATATCAAAATGACATCGCTTTTGAAATAAATACAGATAATTTATCTGAATTAACTGCATAAATAATTTTCGCAATACTATATAATGAGATGACAAAATATGAATAACTCATTGGTCAAAAACATAATTAACAATAAAAAGCATAGTGTCATGTTTACTGATTAACACGAAGGGAAAAATGTTTATCCTTTCAAATGACACAACTTATATCTAGGGATGTTAACGAGCCGAGCTTTGGTCTTAACGGGCCGAGCCTGTGTTCAAATGTGTCAGACTGGCCTTAGCCTGTTACCTGTTACGAATATAATATCAGCCTGTGGCCTGACTCATTTACAAAAAATAAAAGCCTTGTTTAGCCTGTTTAAAAAAAAAATAAGACAACAAAAAATTATCCAAACAAAATATACAATCAACACTAGTAATTTCATAAATATTCATAAATTTAATGTATATCCAAATAGCTTAATATAAAACAAAATTATTTAAAAATCTGTTTAATTAATAAAATTGGATAAAATGAATTGAGAATAGAGAGAGGCTATCACAAGTAGTATAAAAAATAAAAAATAAATAAATAAATAATATATTAGGCAAGCCTGAGAGGCTCTAAGGCCGAACTTTTGAATTGGAGCCTGAGGCCTTTTTATTAAACTAGTTTTTATACAAGTCCAAGCCTGGGTCCAACAATCAATTTTAGACATGTAAGCTCAGGCCTTCACGAGCCGAGTCAAAGGCCCCTGGCTTGTTTAGCACCCTACTTATATCATTTCACTCTTACAAAGAGGTGAGACTCACACCTTTATTTTTTTGTCAACTCTCTCCTCCTTTATCTATCTCTTTCTCTCTCTTAAAATGACACAACTTTACATCCTTTAAAATGACATACACTTTACCCTTAACATGTAACATGACACAATTTTTTTAGTATTATTTTTTAGGGTTCGCTTTTTCTGCAGTTATTGCAGATAATTATCTGCAGTAAGCCCAATACGATGTCGTTTTGGGGCGAAAATCATGGTATTTTTATAATTTTAATTTATTTCAGGGTTATAATAGTCTTTATATTTATAATTTTTTAAGATCTCAATCTCAAAACGACGTCGTTTTGGGAATAAATACAGATAACTTATATGCATTAACTGCAGAAACATTTTTCCCTAATTTTTATCCATACAAACACATCATGAATGTGAAAGTTGATCAACCTAAACATAAAATTCTCATATCTTATTCATGTCGTGTCATTTCTAGTATACATTAAATAAGGGTCACTATTGCAAATTATAGGGGCGTTGTCATATTAAGTTTCTAACCTTCTCAATTCATAAATGACAGAGTACTAGTTTCAAGATTATTTTTTGAGTTTTCAACACTTTTTCAAATGCAATAGAGTTTGTGGCAAGTCCCTCTAAAATTTATTTGTTTTCAATATTTTTTAATTGTCTCCCATCGCAATCTCCATCGTCACAAATATGTATAACTGATAAAAATCCTTTGTCACTAAATTTTGGGCAAGGATATAGCTCCATTGCATACCTGTATAACATAAAAATTATTTGCATAAAATCAGATGGGTCTTCGTTTTTATATATGATTTAAGGGTTCGCTTTTTCTGCAGTTACTACTTACTGCAGATAAGTTATCTGCAGTAAGCCAATACGACGTCGTTTTGGGACGGAAATCATGATGTTTTTGTAATTTTAATTTATTTTAGGATTATAATAGTCTTTATATTTATAATATTTTAAGATTTCAATACCAAAACGACGTCGTTTTGGAAATAAATGCAGATAACTTTTCTGCATTAACTGCGGAAACATTTTTCCCATTATTTAAATAGCCTCCCTTGTAAAATTTAGTTTTCATCAATTCATCATAAAACTTCCAAGTCTCCACTTTTTTCTCATCCTATTATTCTTGCAAGATTTTCGACCTTTCAATTTGTTCAACGTTCTGGGAAAAAAACACATCATCTCTCATAGTTAACCTCATCCTTCTGTTATTCTTAGTTAGCATTTCATTGTCTATTTATTTTTTGAGGGTCCCAATGGATGCTTCTCGTAGTACCTAGCCATGTGACAAATTCCAAATTTTCAGGAACATCAACCATTCAAACTTGAATACAAATAAATTATAGTCTACAATCAAATAACGAATAAGAGCCTATAAACGCTACAAATTCTAAATTTGTCCACAAACTCCTAATTCCACATCATGCTTTCACTATATTTTGCATGGAAATCCCATTTCATTGCACAATGACATGCACTTCTAAAAACCCTTAATTCCAACACAAAACAAAACACTTTTTTCCTCTCCATTTTGTCTCTGACCATCTTCAATGGATTTCATGAGTAAAACTAATCTCCTCATTGTATCCCTCACTTCCCTCCTCCTCCTTGCAAACGACGTTTCCTCAAGTCGCGATATTCATGTTGTGCATCGTAATCTTCGCTCTGATCTCTTAGACGACTTTTGCAAGAAATTCACAAACCCTACCCTTTGTGCTGAAACCATTCAACCACACTATAATAATCACGCCCTTGACCCATTAAAGGCTCTTGAGATTGAAGTTGACGCAACCCTTAACCAGACCAAGAAAACCGCTGCTATCATCGATGAGTTACTTTCCAAACCCGACGTTTCAAAACCGTTAAAGGTTTCCCTTGACACATGCAAGGAACAATACAATAGTATATTGGATTCTATCAAAGAAACCAAAGAAGCAATTGCCACACATGATGTGATTACTGCAAAGTTCAAGTTCAGTGCTGTGTTGTCATTCCAAGCAACATGTAAGGACGAATTTGAAGGGACGAAAATGCCCTTCGCTGATGATTCTGAAGCCATATACCAATTGGGAGGAAACTGTTTGGACATGATTGCTGATATAGAAAAAACCTCGGGTCCTCAAAAAGAAGCAGCACCAGTGAAATCAACTCCTTCTGCATTTAGCAGCGTTATCGGAACCATATCTTCATGAATTTTTTTGAAGAAACTGAAATCCATCGGTTTAGTTGTTAGTGATCCAATTTCAAGAACCGGCCATGCTTGATGGAATTCAAAAGTGCAATTGTATGGATTTTTTTATTTTTTATTTTTATTTTTAAATTAAAGTTTAGGGTAAGAGGTGGCTCTCTTTGTTCTAATTTTAGGATTACTAATATGAAATTCCTGAATTTAAGTTTAAAGCATGTAATTGTCTTAATTAAAAGGCTGAGAGGTGAATGTATCTATTTGGATAAAGATTAGTCTCGTAACTGACTCAAAAAATTAAAATTTATAAAGATATTTGGGTGAACCGACTCACCTCAAAAAAGTAATTAAGTTCCGTATAAAAAAAATTTGATTAGTATATGTAATTAGTTTATATATGACGTATATAAACTCTTTTTAGATTTGTTACATAATGATAAGTAATTGAATCTCTAATTTTCCTTTTGTCAATTCACATTTTTACTATTTTTGTACTAGTGTAGTTTTTTTTTTTTTTCGTAAGCTACTGTAGTTGTTTTACTTTTATGTCAGTCTGTTTTAACTTTTATTTGTTTTTAAATATATATTAATATCATGAGAATAATCAAAATGTGAGCAAATTATAGAATATATAAAGAGTAAAGACCATTTTTGATCCTTAACAAAAAATACGGTCCTCATTTTAGTACTTTACAAAAAAAAATTAGTCAGTTAGTCCCTAACAAATTCAAGGTGGACTCATTTTAGTCCTTTTAAGGGACTAATATGGGTCTTTTTTGAATTTGTGAGGGACCACGATTTCAACTAAATTGGTCTACTTTGAATTTGTTAAGAACTAACTGACTAATTTATTTTTGTAAGGGACTAAAATGGGGATCATATTTTTTGTTAGAGGTATATATATATATATATATATATATATATATATATATATATATATATATATATATATATATATACAAAGATACAGAAGACAATGATCGTTATCTAAGTCATCTTCCTTTAACATGCAGAGAAAGTATCTTGTAATAAAATATTCAGTTTATATGTGTGCATCATCTTTGGTTATTCATAGAAGTGGCAAAGTGGGCGACTCGTCCCGTCTCACCCCACATCGTCATCAATTCATAAAAAAATGAGTTAGCTCACCTCGCCCCGCTTTTGAAAGTGGGCTGAAAAATTGAGCCTGCCCCGTTAGGCGGGTTGGATGAGTTGGCCCGCCAGCGGGAGCCTATTTTACACTCACTGACCCGCCTTAGTTCGCCTATGCCCATCAACCCGCCAAAAAATGAGCTTGTCCTGCCCTGTCCCGCCCCGCTTTTGAGATGAGTTGAAAAACTCAGCCCGCCCCGCCTCGTTTAGCCGATAGGGCGGGTTGGCCCGCCGAGCCGAACTCGTTTTGCCGGCTCTAATTATTCATATGCCTCGTGTAAATGTAATTACTCTCAGTCGAATGTGACTTATATTGAAAAATAGATTTCTAGTGAATTAGAATTTGATGATATGCACTCTATTTTCTCTGTTTCTCTCGTCATTTTCCTTGCTCTAGATCTATTTTTCTCCCTTCATTTTATAATGTATTATAAGCTCGATTCGTCTCTATAATAAGTTAATAACAAACTAAGTAAGACTGTGTTTATACAAAAACCAATCAAGCATTAATCTCTATCAATCAAGTGATTAGTTGCTTATCCAAAAAAAAAAAAAAACGAAATAAGCATTTGAGGAGAAAGGACGAAATAAGCATTAATCTCAAAAAAAAAAAAAACGAAATAAGCAACGAATAGAGATTATTTCACTCTTTAACACCCATAAAATATTACGAATATAGAGAACTAATATAACTATATATCTATCTTTATTTTTGGAATTCAAATCCTACATCTATTCTTTTTTTTTTATTACATCCGGGTATCCTCACAGCCGATAGCCATGAGACTAATCTCTCACCCTGGGTCAGCGTACAAAGCGGTAAAAAGCTGGCCACAGAATGTTTTCCATTCACAAGAGTTGGGGTTCAAACCCCTAACCACTTGCTTAAGGGATGAGATCCTGAACCATCACGTCCACTCACGTGGTTCTACTTCTACTCTTTAATCAATCAAGATTAATCTTGAATCTTTTAATAATTTTATCATCCTTATCGTTATTTATATTTTTTAACCAATCATAATTTATATTTTTTTTAATATTCTTTGATTAATTCACTACTATAAAATAAATTAGAATTCTAAATTTTGAGAGTGAAATAATCTCTTCATATATTTTTTTACCGTCTAAGGGTGCTAAAGTGAGTTAATCCCCGCTCCCCTCTAATTTCATAAGTCACAAGATAACGGGATGGGCAAGTTGACCACTTTTTTTTAAAATGAACACCAACTCATTTTTTATATGGTTTAAATAATAAAAAAATTATATAAAAGAAACTGAAAAAACATAAAATTCTGGATGAAACAGCATTTTATGGTGGTATGTCTGTATTAGGCGATTCATTTATTCAATGCGTGCTTGTAACTTTGTTTTTTTTTTTGTTGAGTGATTTGAAGAGCTGGTAACTATTAGTCTATTTCTGTTGTCTGCGTTGCAGTACAAGGAAGAGAAAAAAAAAAAATGAAGGTTGTGTGCATATGTGGACTTAAGCTTTTCAATTTGGGTCCGGCAGGAAAGAAAAAAATTTCTAGTCCTGACCCGGACCAAAAGCACTTAACCCAATATTTGAAAAAAATAAATAAATAAGTACTCAAACTGACAAATCAATCTGCTTAGGTTAGGAGTGATTAACAGTTAGGGGTGATTAACAGCACAAGACATAAACAAATACATAATAAAGTGAATCAAAATCTTCCACACAAACATAATCTGCATATTTTGTGAGTTAATACAATACGACTAACCCATCAACATTAAAATATAACAGTTATTATGTGAATTGATATAATATGATATGAATAACCTAATAACTTTAAAATATATTATTTATTATGCAGACTAACACAACATAACATGACACAAATAACTAATAAAAAGATTAATATGAATCAATTTTATATTTGCAAGTTGATTCATCAAATGACATGAATTTTTTATGTCAAATTTTGTCCATCAAATACGACAATAATTTAAAAATATGTCAACCCGAACACAAATTTCTTGTATCGTGTCCGTGTCGTATTGAAAATTATTACCTTTAATTAACCTTTCGTATATAGAGGTGGCAATATGGGTTGAGCCCGACGAGTCAACCCGCCAAAACGGGAAGGGTTGAGTTGAGATTTTCAACCCATCAACTCACTTCAACCCGTCCCACCTAGAAGTGGGTCAAAACAGGTTCAACCCGCCACGGGGCGGGTTGATCCGTCGGATTATATTTGTTTTTTATACAATTAGGTAGTATTTTCATTTGTCATTAAATTTTTGTGATATCCAATTTTTTTTATCTTAGTACTTCCTAAAAAAAAATAAAGAATAACAATTTTATTTATGACAAATGTTATCTATATATGGAGACAAATGAGTTTATAAAGAACGTTTGACAAATATTAGTATACATTTAAGATTGAGACTGAAAAAATTAAGAAAAGTGTGAAATAAAATAAAATCATATTCGAAAATTTCATAAAATATAATTTATTTTTGAATTTTAATTAATTTTTTAATTGGCGCTAAAACGGAATGAGTTCATTTTTCCAGCTCATATTTAATGACGGGTCAATCCGTCCCACTCTATTTTTGACAAATTGATGACGAATTAGAGCGAGTCGGGACGGACCAAACCAAATTGCCACCACTGCATCGCCTCTAACTCGCCTCTAACTCGTTTAAACCTACGGATTTAGTAGGATTAGTGTTAGTGGATTGGGTTTAGTGATCAACCTGTCAAATTTAACGAGTTAAAAGGTTGATTGGACAAATTAAACCATACCAATTTTTGCCACCTCTGTGACGAAACAAGTACTTCTTTTTTCGAAAAATAAATTATGTCATTTTTTCTACTTTGTTAATTTTGTTTTACATTTAATACTTCTCAATTCAATTCCTGATTTCTTCACCATATCAACTACAAAATAAAATATTTGCTTTATCAAATTACGTTATTTATTTAATTTATGATCACGTGTCAAGAAAATAAATACAAAAAAATATCATTATATTCTATATTCACCACCATTTCATTATAAAAAAATTCAAGGTTTTTACATGTTATATATATATATATATATATATATATATATATATATATTTATATTTCTGCAGCTGCTATACGTGCAGCAATCAAATATTTGTCATATATATACTTGAAAGCATTAAATGTGGGAAATCATAACCATACAAAGGATGAAAGCATTAAATGTGGGAAATCATAATCATATACCTGTCATTGTTGTACGTAAAGCGACTGCATAAATAATTTTATCATATATATATATATATCATGTTAATTAATTATGATTTAAATACACAATAAAATGTTAAGTTTCTAAACTATAAAATTAATTTAAACACACATTAATAGAAAAAAAAAACTTATACATTGCACATCTACTATAACAATTTATATTTTATTTACTTGTTTTAGGTCTTATATGTTTTGTTTTTGTTTTTCATTTTTAGCTTGCTTTTTTGTGTTGACACATAGCTTTTGTCTGTTGATTTATTTTTCTTGTGTCGCCAAATCTTGCTTATGTGACACTTTATTTATTTATTTTTCTTAATGTCACATGCGAATATGTGTCACATTTTTCTCTTTTATAATTTCTCTTTTTGTTTATTTATTATTATACCAAATTACCAACTTGTCAAAACAATGGTGTCATTTCATGAGAATATTTTGTCTTGTATTGCCTTACTCTGTAAGAGTAATTATATACGTAAATGAAAACTTTAAACCCGTTACAAATTAACTTTCAATCAATTTCAAATAAGGAAATGAAATAACTTTTAAACAGAAATATGAAATCATTTATTATTTCTATCTATACAAATCTCCATTATAATCAATGATATCAGAGAATAAAAACTCCCAACAATATTCAACTCAACACAACTTGTATTCCATATATGATTATTTTCATCTTCCTTAATTAATTATGCAACACGTGGTACAATTTTTTTATTTTTTATTTCTCAATAAACAAGGAACGATAAAACAGGACTAGAAGGACCAAACTAATCTAACTTAGGCACATCAAATTAATGATGATAGCTCAGTTGGTACAAAGAAATTGAGTTGATGGTGAAGGACTTTGATTCGATCTCCATCAATGTCATCTTGAGCAGTGGCATAAAACATTTATCTTTGACCCGCCTCGCACGGGATTTGTCTCATAATCAACTCAAAAAATCGAAGCTTATGAAAATAGACGAAAGAGCGCGGGAGCTACTTGATGCAAAGAGATAATTAGAATTGGTATAAACAAAAAATCTAACTTAGGCAAATGCGTGCCATTCCTAATTATATGATCTATTGGGAAGAGGGTATTGGGCCGTTTAATATAATCGAAGCAAATTGCAGAATATCTGGATTCAATCAATAAAATATTAAGCTCACATATTTTTTTTGTTTTTTTAGCTACAACTATTTTTTTTTGGTGAAATAGCTACAACTATTTATTATTATGTCAACTTGTCAAAACAATGTTGCTATCTCATAAGAATATTTCGTCTTGTATTTGGAAGTAATTATATACATAAATGAAAACTTTAAATCTGTTACAAATTAATTGTCAATCAACTCCAAATAAAGAAACAAAATAACTTTTAAACAACAATATAAAATTTGTTATTATTTCTATTTATTACAAATCTCCAGTCTAATCAATGATATCAGAGAATAAAAACTCCCAACAATATTCAAACTCAACACAACTTGTATTCCTTATATGATTATTTTCATCTTCCTTAATTAATTATGCGACACGTAGTACAATTTTATTTTTATTTTGGATAAGGAACAATAAAATAGGACCAGAAGGACCAAACTAATCTAACTTAGGAACATCGCTCGATCTCTGCCAATGCCATCTTGGAGAGTGACATAAAATATTTATCCTTGACTTACTCCGCACTCGAGATTAGTGCTCAAAAAGCCTAAGCTTATGAAGATAAACAAGAGAGCAGAAGAACCTACTAAACACAAAGAGATAATTAGGATCGGTATAAAAAAAAATCAAACTTACACAAATGCGTGCCATTCCTAATTATATGATCTATTGGAATTTGGACAGAAGATATTGGGCCGTCTAGTACATTCGAAGCAAATTGCAGAATATATGGATTCAATCAATAAAATATTAAGCTCACATTTGTTTTTATACAAGTATTTATTATTATACCAACTTGTCAAAAGTCAAAACAATGTTATTATATCATGAGAATATTTCATCTTGTTTTCCTTTTTCTATAAAGGTAATTATATATATAAATGAGAATCTTAAATCTGTTATAAGTTTGTTGTCAATCAACTCCCAAATAAAGAAATGGAATAACTTTTAAACAGCAATATGAAATATGTTATTATTTCTATTTAATATAAATCTCCTATTATTATGTAACAGTATAATCAATGATATAAGAGAATAAAAACTCACAACAATATACAGCTCAACACAACTTGTATCCCTTATATGATTATGTTCATCTTCCTTAATTAATTATACAACACGTGGTACAATTTTATTTTATTTTTGAATAAACAAGGAATGATAAAATAGGACCGGAAGGACCAAACTAATCTAACTTAGGCACGTCGAATTTATAATGACAGATCAGTTGGTGCAAGGGAATTGAGTGGGTGGGGAAGGACTTTGGTTCGATCCGTACAAATGTCATCTAAACATCCTTGATCCGTTCCGCACTCGGGATCAGTCTCATATCAGCTCAAAAAGCTGAAGTTTATGGAGATATACGGGGGAGCAAAGGAGCCTGCTCGATGCAAAGAGATAATTAAGGTTGGTATAAAAAAATCTAATTTAGACGCATGCGTGCCATTCCTAATTATATGATCTATTGGACAAAAGGTATTGGGACGTTTAATACAGTCGAAGCAAATTGCAGAATCTATGGATTCGATCAGTAAAATATTAAGCTTACATTTTTTTTTTAGATACAACTATTTATTATTTTACCAACTTGTTAAAACAATGGTGCCATCTCATGAGAATATTTTGTCTTGTATTTCCTTTTTCTATTGGAGTAATTATATATATAAATGAGAACTTTAATTCTGTTATAAATTAGCTGTCAATCAGCTCTAAAGAAGGAAACGAAATAACTTTAAACAACAAAATATGAAATCTGTTATTATATCTATTTAATACAAATATCTTATGATCATATAACCGTATAATCAATGATATAAGAAAATAAAAACGCACCACTAGGGATAGCCTAGTGGTGTTGGGTGTGTTTAGGGTGTATTAGGTGTGCGGTTCGATTCCCTGTAATGCCCAAAAAATAATAATAATAATAAAAACTCCTAACAATATATAGCTCATCACAACTTCTATCCCTTATATGATTATTTTAAACTTTCTTAATTAATTATGAAACACGTGATACAATTTTATTTTATTTTTGGATAAACAAGGAATCATAAAACAGGACTAGAAGGACCAAACTAATCTAACTTAGGCACATATCGAATTAATAATGATAAATCAATTGGTGCAAGAAAGCTAAATGGGTGAGGAAGGACTTTGATTCGATCCCCACAAATGTTATCTTGGGGAGGAGATAAAACATCCTTGATCCGCCCTGGAGTCGAAATTAGTCTCATAAACAGTTCAAAAAACCGAAACTTGTGAGAATACACATCACTGCAAAGAGAAAATTAGGATTGGTATAAAAAAAAGCCATTCCATTCCTAATTATATGATCTATTAGACAGAAGGTGTTGGGCCGCTTAGTACAATCAAAGCAAATCGCAGAATATATGGATTCAATCAATAAAATGTTAAGCTCACATATTTTTTTATTTTTTTAGATACAAACTATAGTATCTAATGACCCTACTTAATTCGGTTTTGAGTTTGTGTCCCTTCATTCATCTCCCAAATTATGATTCTCATGATTTGAACTTATTATTCTCTACATAAATCAAATCCTGAGATCTGGATCTAACTGTGTCGTCACTGGACTAATGACTTTTGAACCTAACTGTGTCGTCACTACACTAACGACTTTTGAGCAGCTCACTCACGTATTTATTTTAAATTATACTAGTATATGTCATAGAAATCTCACATTCTTAAAAAAATATTAAAGTATGGATTATATTAATTTAAACGGTTGATTGTATAATGAAATTACATATATTCTTTCATATTCAGTTTTTTTTATCCAGGAATGTGGCTATGAAAATAAAAATCTTATTTCTTCTTTTTTCGTCAGGATTACAATCCCATGATGTAGTAATTAACTCCCACCCACATAAGTAAATCATCCAAAAAAAAAAAAAATCAGACTGAGAAGATTACAATCAATGTGACAAAGAAAAATGATGAGTTCAGTGTTGAAAAGAAGAAATAATGTGTCCCTTTGATAAGGGATGCAGCTTATGCACAAATTCCAATGACACCCTTGCATGGGTCTGGTACTGCAGGCGATGATGGTGGTGGTTTTGAACCCTCTCTATCTTCAATGACTTTCATGAGATCCAAGGAATTTCCACCAAGGACGTACACTCCCTGCGCTTCATTCGCAATCGGTGAAGGTCCATCAATGAATTCATCGTTGCAAGAAGCTTGATATGACAAAACAGCACTGAACTTGAAGCGTGCCTCCACAACGTTACGTCTCGCAACTTCCTTGATGGTGTCATCGATGGCGTCAAGCATGTTGCTGTATTGTTCCTGGCACGTGTTGAGTGATTCACTCAAGCTATTTGAGATGCCCTGTTTCGCAAGCAAAGCAGCAATGAGAGAAGAGGTTCTCTTAACCTGGTTCTGTGTGGCTAAGATCTCAGCCACGAGGGCCTTGTAAATGTTGAATTCACCACTGACTTGTGGTAATATGGTTTGGTAACAAATGACTGGGTTCGTTGTTGACTTGCATAGTGCCCAGACCCAAGCCTGTGGGGTGCCAGTTGCGGGAACAGCGTTTGTGTGTACGAGGATGCAAGAGAGGGAAGCAATGAAGAGAAGGGTTTTGGTGAAATGCTCCATTGTTTTTCCTTCTCCGAATTAAGGAAATGGTCGAGAGCAGAGAATAGAGGGGCTTGTGTTTGGAATGAGGGCAACTTGGGTGTGGGGGTATTTGAAGTGCTTTGGTTTGGGCTTTGAAAATAGGTTAACCCAAACATAAATATTTGGTATTATCTTCGTAAATCCACAGATTTAGTAGGATTAGTGGATTGTGATTGGTGATCAACCTGTCAAATTTAATGAGTTAAGAGGTTGATTGGACAAATCTAAATCATACCCATTTTTGCCACCTCTATAAAACAAGTAACTTCTTTTTTGAAAAAAGAAAATATTATGTCCTTTTTTCTACATTGTCAATTTTGTTTTACATTTAATACTTCTCAATTCAATTCCTGATTTCTTCTCCATATCAACTACAAAATAAAATGTTCTTATTATTTATTTATGGGTTTGTTTTTTCTGCAGTTACTGCATATAAGGTATCTGCAGTAAGCCTAATACGACGTCGTTTTGGGCAAAAATCATGGTATTTTTGTAATTTTAATTTATTTCAGGGTTATAATAGTCTTTATATTTATAATTTTTTAAGATTTCAATACCAAAACGACGTCGTTTTGGGAATAAATGCAGATAACTTATCTGCAGAAACATTTTTTCCTTTATTTATTTGCTTAATTAAATATTACGCAATTTATTTATTTTTATCAATTTCTTATTCATCCAATTGTTTTCCATTTATTACTTAATCAAATAATAAATTATTATTAAAAAGTTATGATCACATGTCAAGAAAATAAATACAAAAAAATATCACTATATTCTATATTCACCACCATTTCATTTATAAAAAAATTTAAGTTTATTACATGCTACATATATATATATATATATATATATATATATATATATCATGTTAAATTATGATTTAAATACACAATAAAATATTATAGAATTAATTCAAACACACATTAATTGGGAAAACAACTTATACATTGCACATCTACTATAACAAGTTATATTGTATTTACTTGTTTTAGGTCTTATATCGTTTTCTTTTCGTTTTTCATTTTTTAGCTTGATTTTTTTGTTGGGTTTGTATTATTTTACTTAGGGATAGGATATTGTGACAATCAAATAATGTTATTACCAATGTTACTATCACATCTTAATCGTTGATTTTCGCCAATTAACGGTTATCATTTATTGCGAATTAATAATTAATTAATGAGTTTGATTTGAAAATCCACAGATTTAGTAGGATTAGTGATCAACCTGTCAAATTTAATGAGTTAAAAGGTTGATTGGACAAATCTAAATCATACCCATTTTTGCCACCTCTATAAAACAAGTAACTTCTTTTTTTGAAAAAAAAAATATTATGTCCTTTTTACTACATTGTCAATTTTGTTTTACATTTAATACTTCTCAATTCAATTCCTGATTTCTTCTCCATATCAACTAAAAAATAAACTGTTCTTATTATTTATTTATTTGCTTAATTAAATATTACACAATTTATTTATTTTTATCAATTTCTTATTCATCCAATTGTATTCCATTTATTACTTAATCAAATAATAAATTATTATTAAAAAGATATGATCAAATGTTAAGAAATTAAATACAAAAAAATATCACTATATTCTATATTCACCACCATTTCATTTGTAAAAATATTTAAGTCTATTACATGCTACATATATGTATATATCATGTTAAATTATTATTTAAATACACAATAAAATATTATAAAAATAATTTAAACACACATTATTAGAAGTAAAAAAAACTTATACATTGCACATCTAATATAACAAGTATATATTGTATTTACTTGTTTTGGGTCTTGTATCGTTTTCTTTTCGTTTTTTATTTTTTAGCTTGGTTTTTTTGTTGGGTTTGTATTATTTTACTTAAGCAAAATTGGGATAAGAGTATAAGAGAGGTGTATTTGATTGGAATTTCAAAAGATTTTAATAGATTATTTTTGGACAAAAAAATCATTGATATTCAATTAGGATTTTAAAGGATTGAAAAAAAGTCATGTGATATTCAATTAGTATTATAAAAGATTATTTTATAATTCGTCCAAATCCGTTAGTATTCAATCAAAATTTGAAATAAAGAAAAAATAATCTTGTGGTATTTAAAAATCTGACAATTTTAATGGATTTTCTATTAATGTGAATTTTGTGAGACTTTTCAGTGATAAATATAAATAGAATGTCTCTTTCACAATCTCACCCTAACCCTTAGGGGGCGTTTGGTAGAGGAGATATTTTTTTTTTGCTAGGAAAATATAATTACTAGGTATATGGTGGGGAAGTGAGTTTGATAGGAAAGTTAAAAAAAAGTTGTTTGGTAAGTCGAAATATTATTGGAAAAAATGAATTAAATTTTCTGAGTCTACGTTTGGTTGAAGGTAAAATATTGATGAGAAAATAAATTGAAATGACAAAAATAACCCTTTTATAATTTTGTCAGAATCGTTTGCCTCGTTATATGGCTCTAAGACTCTGGTGTTTTCTGATGTGCCAAAGACATCAACTAGAAAGACATAGAAATTTGTTCTAAAAGCATATTCATTTTGCAATTTGAATGCAATGTTTGTAAAAGTTATCTGATTTCATGTTGTAATTTTAATTCCTGTGACAATGAATGGGTGACTCTATCACAAACCGAGACGATGGGAGGGTCATTTTCGTCTTATTTTGGAGTCCAAGATTTCACTTAGATGGTAAAATGAAAAATACCACATGAGAAGTGGTGTTTTCAAACAGTAAATTTCATCACAATTTTCACACAAACCACAAATCCCAGGCAACATATTTTGGTGGTATAATTTTTGTGAAACTTGTACCAAACATGGTATACTACAAATCTCACCCACACTTCCCCATCAATCCTAAAATAAACCTTATACCAAACACACCCTTAGCATTTTTTGAGCTTTTCTATTGCAGTGTCTTCTTTTTCCTTTGACGTGTCAACTCGCTGAAAACCAGGTTATGTACTGTAAGCTTCGTCAAAACTCAAAAACAGAAGATTTTTGAGCGATTTTCATCACAAAACAAGTCAGAAATAACAACCCAACAAAATTTTAATCTAATCCATCTCAAAAATAGCAGTTTTTTGAGCGAGAGTTTTAGAGTTTTTTTAAGTTTAAAAAAAGATTTTTCAAATTATTGGTCTCGATTTTTCTTGGCATAAAAACGTGTGATTTTTGTATTAAAAGTAACATAAAACAGTGGGAAAACAACAGGGGAAAAAATCCCAAAACTAATTTTTGTTTTACATCAATGAAACAAGATCGATTTAAAGAAACATTTAAACTTTCATAATATGAACTCTATGTTTCATAACAATACATTCATGAACGAAATTCCTTCGCTATAAAAATGATTTCAAATAATTTTTGTGCCAATAAATTACTAAAAACTTATTTTTCAAAAGCCCCAAAATAATTTAAGGTTTCAATGTATCGATGAAAATAACTTTAGAAAATTTCTAAACTTTAATGTAATAAAACCCAAAAATTAAGATTCAAAATTTTCTTGGAATACTCAATGAAAACATGCATATGATATATGGTTAGAAAACACTCAACACCTAAAATAAAAAACCTCAAGGTTTACAATATCAATTGCAAAAAATTCCAAATGAAATTTTGTCATGAATTTTACTGATTGAGAAAAATATATTAAATTTTACTTTTTTAATTAATATCATCGCATTTCTTTGTTATTTTTTTATTGACTCTTGCAATTTTGAATGTTTCTTAATATTTCATATTGTCCTTTCAAATCTTATAAATGTTGGAAATAATCAAGTGTGAGTGAGTAGTGGTGAAGTAAGTTCCACATAGGCTAGACATAGACCAAGTGATGACCATATAAGTGCAAAAGACCCATAAACCTGCAGCCTTAAGGTTTTGGGTTGAGACATGGTGTCGGATCCACTTGCTACGGTTGGTGTAGCCTTAGCTCATTTAAGTTTAAAAAATTCTTGTCCCTCGTTTCATTCCCAACAATAAATTCTATTAAAATCCTGTAAAATTCAATCTATAAAATCTTGATTGTAAATAAAAATATTTTAAAAAAGTTTTTAAAGTTTCTCTAAACTCTAATTCTAAAAAGTCTCTTAAAATTTATTTTTATATTGAAAAATCTTTTAAAATCTTAATCGACCACAGCCCCCTAAGAATAGCCCAAGAAGCCTAGAGCTCAATGAGCTTAGGGTTAGAAGTTTTGGAACCCATATAAATACTAACTCTTAAATTATTAGCCTAAGAGATCATTGCCCATAGAAGAGGTAAATTCAGATCTGAAAAAATGCCCATACACTCTCCTTTTTCCCTTGAGAAGGTTTGCCATATAGTAGACGAATATGTTAATGCTAGAGAGATCTGTTCGTGTCGTGCTGTGACACAGTAGAGATCGATTCGTGAGTTTGTGTTGTGACACAGGATACCGATTCGTGGAGTATCATCTACGATCTGCATTATAAGAGGTAATCATAAACCATAGATGATGATCCGGTGCATCTCAAATCACAATGGTCTAAAACGTTTCTGCAGATCCAGTTGCTACATCATTTTTGTGTTGACACATAGCTTTTTGTTTGTTAATTGATTTTTCTTGTGTCGACACATCTTACTTATGTGACACTTTCTTTTTTCTGACGTCACATGCGAACTTGTGTCACTTTTTCTAAATTGTGATTTTTTTTCTTTTTGTTTATTTATTATTATACCAACTTGTGTCCCTTATATGATTATTTTCGTCTTCCTTAATTAATTATGCAACATGTTGCCTTGCTAACAGTTGTGCAAGTAATGCGCGCAAGTATACGCGACAACAAGTAATATAGGGCTTTTGTGAGTCCCAGTAATCGTTCCCACAAGGATCTTTGCGTTTTAACTTGAAATAAATGGTAATTGCTAAAAGAACTAAAATTAAAAACAAATGAAATTAAATGCTGCTACTTTTCTCAACTAAAGAATAGAAAATGTTTTTGTAGTGATTTTCTCTTTTTAAAACAATGATTTAGTTGGTGACTGATTCTTTAACTACTGCTTAGAAAAATGACTTAACTAAAATACTTGTAAAATAGTTTTGCAATGGTTTTCTTTTAAGTTTAGAAACAGAAGAATAAATTCAGATTTTTGACAAAAAAATAACAAGTGACAAGAATTGGTTTTAAAATCAGTATTTGGAAATGAGTTGAGTTTTCAATTTCCCCTTCACTCAAATGTCATTAGGATGCTTTAAAAGAAAACAAAAATTGCTTTCAGCTTAACGAAAATACTAGAGTAATTGTTGTTTTCCAACAACAATTTTCTTCCACTGACAACAGTTGGCATATCCCTATGTCACTGTTGTCTTAGGATCTTGGAGAATCATTTTCACAAGTTACATGGGGGTAACTCCATCCCTGAAGCCATACCCATTGAGAGAGATTTTTTCTCTCAACTTTCCATGTGCTCACAGTGGGGTCTAGTGTGAGTTATTTCCCAATACCCTCACACCACTAAGAGCTGACTATATGTGATCATCACATAACAAACTCAAAAATAAACATGCACCATAAACAAACTGAAAAACAACTCTGTAAACATTAAACCATCATCTATTAACAGTGAGTTCTGGGTACTTTGTCCAACCCAACTCTCAGAAAAATTAGCTCATCACCACAAGTTGATGAGCTAAAATACAGCAAGTGTTCATAATGAAAATAGAAACTTTAAAAGGTACTGGAATTAAAAACCCAGGAACTATCAACAGCCGATAGTCCTGAAACAGTGCTCATCAAAATTACAAAATAAAAATACTAAAAATAAAGACAGAAAAACTAAAAATATTCTCAAAGAGCAGAAAATAAAATCAGCGAAGAGAAGAGAGGTAGGGAGAGAGTCTTTACAAAATGCCTTTTTCCCCTTTCTTATAGCTGCTCCAAAATCATCCCCTCCAACGTACGCTCCCTGCTCCTTTCGATCGTGGGTGTCTCCTTGCACGATTCAGCGGACGCACTCCAAAAAGCAGCCCTTTCCACTAACGACCTCCAGCTCATCAACTCTTTTGGACTTTTCTGATTTGAACCAAGCATCGGTTAGGGTTTGTATGTGGGTTGGTCCGATTCAAAAACTGAACCGTGGTGGAAGGTGAGGGTTCTATATCTAGGTTGAAAATCAGAGGGTGTTTTTGGTTTATTTGCTCGATTCAGAGAAGGAACCGTGATGGAGAGCTTGAGATGGAGCAGGTTCACTTAGACGGTCTATGCTAGGGTTTTTCTCTTTCAGAAGATGCACGATTCTGACTTCTTTCTCTCCCCTTCTTTTCTTCTTTTCTTTTCTTTTGGGCCACTGATTGGGTTTTAATTCCTCTGGCCCATTCTCTTCTTTTCTGATTTGCTTTCTCATTTCGGGCTTCTGATCAGCAAAGCATTAGCCCAATTTTTCTTCACTCTTTTTGCATGGAGAATTAACACTAATTGGGCCTGAACATATAAAAGCAGCTCATTAAGTGGGCGTGATTGTGCTAAAGTGGTTGAACTCATGACATTGGTAGATAAGGACCTAAGGCTACAACGAGTTAATGGGTTTCCTAATTATATGATCCATTGGACAGAAGGTATTTGGCCGTTTAGTACAATCGAAACAATGGCAAAATATATGGATTCAAAGACAATAAAATATTACTAAATGATGGTAGCTCAGTTGGCGTTGGCGCATGGGAGCTAAGCAGGTGGGGGTGAGAGCATGTGTTCGAATCTGAGGTGGGAGTGAAAGCGGTGGGGGTGAGAGCATGTGTTCGAATCTCTCCAGTACCACCTTTGGGAGGGGTTTAAAGCCTTAATCCTGGACTCGCCCCGAATCGGATTAGTTGCGAAGCAATGAACCGATTGGAATATTTCCAAAAAAAAAAGACAATAAAATATTAAGCTCTCATTTTTATTTATTTCTTTAGATACTAATTGATATCTACCGTTCTAATGACCCTGACAAATTTTGTTTCAGGTTTGTGTTTCTTCTCATTTCAAGAATTACTATTCTTATGATTTGAATTCATTGCCCTCTACGCAGGTTAAATTATGAGATTTAATTGGATCGTCACTAGAACAATAATTATTTGGGCAGCTCTCATATTTTTTTCAAGGGTAAAAGATTTTTTCAGTCAATAGAGATAAGTTATATCCGGTGAGTCCAGAACGACGTTGTTTTGGGATGAAAATCAAGATATTTTTGTAATTCTAATATATTGCAGAGTTATTAGTCTTTATCATTATAGTTTTTTAATCTTATAATCCCAAAACGACATTATTTTGAGTTTACTGAAGATAATTTTATCTCCGGTGACTGGAGAAATACTTTTTACTTATTTTAAATCAGGGAATCAAGCAAAGCCAGTAACTTTATATCAATTTATTTTGTTAGAATACCATCAAATAACTACCCTTCCTTTAAAAAATTATACTAGTATATGTATTAGAAATCTCACATTCTTAAAAAAATATTAAAGAAAAATATGTATTATATAAATTTAGACGGTTGATTGTAATGTGAAAATACGTATATTCTTTCCTATTCAAATTTTTTTTCTGCAAGTAGTTTTTTTTTTTCTTGTCTTTCTTTTCCTTGTAATCTTTTCCAAAAAAAAATACGTATATTCTTTCCTATTCAATTTTTTTAATCAAGGAATGTGGCATTTAAAAAAAAAAAGTCATAGTTTCTTCTTTCTTCGTCAGGATTACCATCACATGATTTAGTAATTAACTCCCACACACATAAGTGAATCACAAAAAGAAAAAGAAAAATCAGAGTCAGAATATTACAATCAATGTTACAAAAGAAAAATAATGAGTTCGGTGTTGAAAGAAGAATTAATGTGTCCCTTAGTCATAGTGGAGAAAACCTTTGATGCAGCGGATGTAAGTAGATACATGCCAAAAGTGTTAAGTTTTTGGGATTTGAAGAGTAATATAAAGAAAAATATAGGTAAAAAAGGAAAAGAATTTTCCCTATTTTGTAAAAAGGTAGACCAAGTTCGTTACTCCCATAGTATCGTCGAAATTTCCGTTAGAGTGATGCAGCTTAACCGCAAATTCCAATAACACCCTTGCATGGGTTTGGTACTGCAGGCGATGATGATGATGATGATGATGGTTTTGAATGCTTTTTGCTTTCACGACGAGCCTCTCTATCTTCAATGGCTTTCATGAGATCCAAGGAATTTCCACCAAGGTCGTACACTCCCTGCGCTTCATTCGCAATCGGTGAAGGTCCATCAATGAATTCATCGTTGCAAGAAGCTTGATATGACAAAACAGCACTGAACTTGAAGCGTGCCTCCACAACGTTACGTCTCGCAACTTCCTTAATGGTGATATCGATGTCGTCAATCATGTTGCTGTATTGTTCCTGGCACGTGGTGAGTGATTCTCTCAAGCTTTTTGAGAGACTTTGTTTCGCAAGCAACAAAGCAATGAGAGAAGAGGTTCTCTTAACCTGGTTCTGTGTGGCTATGACCTCAACCTCGAGGGCCTTGTAAATGTTGAATTTACCAAAGGCACGTGGTAATATGGTTTTGTAACAAAGGACTGGGTTCGTTGTGGGCTTACATAGGGCCCACACCCGAGCCTGTGGGGTTCGAGTTGTGGGAACAGCGTTTGTGTGTACGAGGATGCAAGAGATGGAGGCAATGAAGAGAAGAGTTTTGGTGAAATGTTCCATTGTTCTTAATTCCTTCTCCTAATTAAGGAAGTGGTCGCCGAGAGCAGAGAATAGAGGGAATTAGGAGAAGGAAGAGAGGCTCGTTTATGGAATGAGGGCAACTTGGGTGTGGGTGTATTTGAATGTATTTGAAGTGGTTTGGTTTGTGCTTGGAAACCGGATTTCCAGACTGAATATGCTTAAAATAGGGTTTGGGTTTGGCTGGTTTCTTGGTTAAATTTAGAATAGTTTGTAGTTATCGGGATCTTATTTGACTTTGAGAGGTTGCACACGCTTTTAAGTTGATTTTGTTTCTAGATTTGTTTTCCTTGAATTTTGGAATTTAACACACATAACCTAACCAGAACCTGCTAAAATTAAGACTAAAATGCCAAGAATGACATATATACAAACGTAAGAGAAATAATAAGATTGAAACCAGAATGTCTTTGAAATTCCAGAAAGAAAATAACAAATCTTAATCCAATAAAAGTGAATTATGATGCATGGATACTGACACCGGGACATGATACTATTCGACTCTTCGATATGTTAATTGTAAAAAAATATTAAATTTTGACACGTTAGGACATTTTTTGATATTAAATAGTATTTTTAAAATATATAGTGTATATTATATTTAATATTCAATAATTTAACAAAAAAATAAAGCTCAACTTGTAATACCCATCAATTTTGCAAAGAAACATAAGATATCTCAAATATTTATATTAAACTCAATAAAATGGTATAGTAATCCAACGAATCTAATAATTGGAACTAAAAAGCAATGCAACGCAACTTTTGAACCCTTTTTTGAATCTATTTTGGAGTGTCGAGGAGTGTTGGGAAGTGTCGGACACGACGTGTCAAAGTTTTTGAAATGTCGGTACATCATAAAAAATGAGTTTTTTTTTTTCTACTTTCAAGTTTTTTTCTTTTTCCATTACATGAAGTGTCCCTTTCAGAGTGGGAATAAATATACTAATGTGGCTGCAAAACTTTATTGGATACAGCAGACACAAGCAAATGAATCTCACTTATTTTATTTTTCTTAAAAAAAAAAAAAAAAAACGCCAGGATACGAAACCGTATACTAGTGTTGCTACAAAGAAAAAATTTTGCAATAACAGAAGAAGAACTACAAAACCCTAAATATATATACCCAAATATGTAATGCCTTGGCAACAAATTGTTCCCAATAAAAATTCGCCCATATACTAACTATGGATTTTAGCAATGCATCAACAACGTGTTTGATAAAATTGATTATATATGATTTAGAAATTAATTTTATTCAATTTGATTTACAAGTTGAAATCCAAATAGAGTTAAATAGATTTTATACGTACACAAGTGAAATAGGAAAATAAAAAGTAAATCAATTTTATAATTTCACGACAACTTTTGGAGATAAAAATGGATTGAACACGCAAGCACACACATACGCGCATGCAGTGATTAAATAATTATAATTATCTATTTCATTATTGTTTGTACTAAATCTCGTAAAAATTAAATAAAAATAAGAATATCGTCAAATTGTTCTAATTTTTATATATTTCAAAAATATATTTATCACATTAAATTTTAGTATATTAGTAAAAAATAGATAATTTTGGATAACAGTATATTTTATAAATATAATTAATATGATAGAAAAAAGTTATAGTAGTGGATTTTGATATATAGTAAAAAGTTATTGAATAATACAATAATAATTTCAAGGAGGAATCAGTTATACCCATTTATTCTGTATTTCATAATGCTTGGATTGAATCAATATCTGATGAAGTTATTTATGAAAAACTTGTGTCATATCGTCCGGATTCCACATGCTAGGTATTCGTTATAAGTAAAAATAAAGAGTTCGTTTTTTCTACGGTCAATGTAAATAACTTATTTACAGTGAGCTTAAAACGACGTCATTTTAAGGCGAAAATTAAGGTATTTTTGTAATTATAATTTATTTTAGCGTTATAATAGTCTTTTTCATTATAATTTTTTAATTTTTCAATACAAAAAATGACGTAGTTTTGAGAGCGAATGTAGATAATTTATTTACATTAACTTTAGAAATTGATTGTGTCATATTCTCCATTATACACGTCATCTGATATAGGCCAGCCCAATGCAGATGCAATCACTGAAGAAAAACAAGTGGATCGTGAAGAAGAAGGGAACACAGCCCACATTGAAGGGCAAGCGATTAAGCAAAATGGAAGGTGGGCTAAGAGGAATCGTACGAGGCCAAAATGGATGAAAGACTTCACCATGTGATATGGTGAGGTTACCATGGGGTAGGGTGAGGTTGTTAGAAGGGTTCCGAAATTTACGGGAAATACTGCTATTTGTTTAGGTGTGCATGTTGCATTTGTATGTCGTTCGTCATTTACCTTCTGTTATTTGTATTCCTCCAAATACTTCCTCTTAATCTATTTAAAGGAAGAACTGATTGTAATAAAGCAGTGAAGAATTTTAGTAGTTAATTTTAGTTGTGGAGGTACTCTCCCTCGAAGAGAGTGTGAATTTCTTATTCCCTATCAAGTGGTGCTTTCATTGAGAGCCACCATGACCGGCTCTCCATCCATCTCACAAGAAAAGTTCGAAAATGCCATGGGTATGATGCTAGAAGCTCAGAAACAGATGCAAGCAGATATGCAGAATTTAATGCGAAAAGTTGCAGCCATGGAACACAAGGCACCAAGCAGCGAAGGAAGTATTCCAAGTCCTCCGCCTTTCCTCAGTCCGAACACAAGAATGAAGTTAGATGTTTCGCGGTTCAATGGATCTGACCCTTTAGGGTGGATCTTCAAAATCTCGCAGTTCTTTGACTACCATCAAACTTCTGATGACCAACGGCTGCGCATCGCTTCTTTTTACATGGAAGGAGAAGCGTTGGGGTTGTTTCAATGGATGCATGCGAATGGTCAGCTTCCTTCCTGGGTACACTTTCTGCATTCAGTTGAATTGCGTTTTGCTCCGTCCCAGTACGAGGATCCAAAAGGGGCAATCTTCAAATTGACGCAGACAACGACGGTCCGTGAATATCAGACCCAATTCGAAGCATTGGCGAATCGGATCGTTGGCCTCCCAGCTCACGCGTTCTTGAGCTGTTTTATTTCGGGGCTAAAACCGGATATTCGCCGAGAGGTGATGGCGCTGCAACCGGCATCTCTCGTTCAGGCTATTGGCCTTGCACGTCTCCAAGAAGATAAGCTGAACGACGTGTCCACTATACAGAAAGGGAAAGGTGTTGCAACCTCCTCTTCTGGTTACAACACGGAGCCTCCAAAGAGCACAGTCACTCCAGCAGCAAAGGCAACAGTACCAACGAATACCAAACCCCAGATCAAAAGGATTTCCCCCGAAGAGGCACAGGCACGGAAAGAAAAGGGACTTTGTTTTTACTGTGATGAGAAGTACCATTTTGGCCACAAGTGTAAGAGACAATTTATGATGTTAATTGTACCACCTGAGCATGACGTGAACGAATTGTTTGACCCAGGAGATGACTCAACAGAGGGCCCTAGGGAAGCTGGGCCGTTGGAGACAAGTTCTGAGCCCAATGCGGTTCAGATCAGTTTCAATGCATTAATGGGTCACAGTATCCCTCAGACTTTGCGTGTTCAAGGTCGAATTGGAAAAACTGAGTTAGCCGTTTTAATTGACAGCGGCAGCACCCATAATTTCATGCAGGAAAGGATTGCCAAGTTTTTGGGCCTAGGCGCACAAGCAGCCCAAACTTTCTCAGTTGTGACTGGAAATGGTGAGGAGATGACGTGTTCATCAGTATGCAGGCAAGTTTCCTTACTATTAGATAAGCATAAGTTTTCTGTGGATTTTTTTGTATTACCTATTACTGGAGCAGACCTTGTGCTGGGAGTGCAGTGGCTCAAAACTTTAGGCCCAATATTGACGGACTATGATGCTTTGACCATGAAATTTGTTCAAGATGGGCAGGTAGTGCAACTAATGGGGGCCCAGTCTCCTAAACTTCAAACAGTATCAGCGGCCCAACTTAAAAGATGGGCTTCAACCCAAGCCATAGCAGAAATGTTTCATCTCCAAGTTGTGCCCATTGAGAAGACGACTACAGTGTTAGGGTGGCCGTGTGAGATAGAACAGCTCCTGCTAAAGTTCGACACCATTTTTGACACACCGACGGAGCTCCCCCCTCCACGCACCGCAGATCACCACATCACCTTAGAAGCTGGCGCTGATCCCGTTAACGTACGTCCTTACAGATATCCGCACTTCCAGAAACGGGAAATCGAGCGGCTGGTGGCTGAGATGTTGGACTCCGAAATAATTCAAAGGAGCATCAGCCCATTCTCTTCCCCAGCTCTGTTGGTGAGAAAGAAAGACGGGACATGGCGATTTTGCGTCGATTATAGAGCTTTGAACGCCATCACTCACAAGGATCGGTTTCCAATTCCAGCCATCGACGAGCTTCTAGATGAACTCCATGGGGCGCAGTGGTTTTCTAAATTGGATTTGCGAGCAGGCTATCACCAGATTCGCATGGCCGTGGGTGATACAGCAAAAACGACTTTCCGCACACACGAAGGGCACTACGAGTTCCTGGTAATGCCCTTTGGCCTGTGTAACGCGCCGGCGACCTTCCAATCCACCATGAACTCCCTGTTGAAACCCTACCTGCGTAAATTTGCTATTGTATTTTTTGATGATATTTTAGTTTATAGTCGCACCTTGAACGATCATGTTTCTCACCTGGAACAGGTTCTTACTGAACTGAAGCGAAACCTATTTTTTCTAAAGAAATCCAAGTGTTTCTTTGCGCAGGAATCACTAGAGTACCTGGGTGACATAATCTCTCGCAGGGGTGTGGGACCAGATCCAGAAAAGATAAAGGCGATGGTGTCATGGCCTCTACCCAGAAACTTGAAACAATTACGAGGATTCTTAGGCTTCACAGGATTCTACCGGAAGTTCGTGAAAAATTATGCCTCCATAGCAGCCCCATTAACCGACATGTTGAAGAAGGATGCATTTGCGTG